AACAAAATTAGGATTTAGAATTAAATTTTTTATATTCTTGTCGGTCATCTCTACTTTTAGCAAGGCCTGGCCCAAATAAATATTTTTAGACGTTATCCAGCTTAGCCCAGTATGCTTCGTCCCGGGCCTGGTATTGCAGTTTTCTAATCCAAGTGCGCATGCTCAAAAAATCGAAGAAGCATCGACGAATTAATTAATTTGAGTTATATTTTCAAAAATAATCTTTAGAATGCTGAGTTTTTTGGCTAAAAAGTTACGTCATTTTTTTGCCCCAATTACTCATTATTCGGTAAATACCAGAGCATCGAACTATCACTCCACAGTTAGCCTTTTTTCTTTCTTGGGTAACCATCCATCAACAGTTAGTGCGAATTTACGATGGAATACAAAATACAGCGTATTATAAAATTCGCGGCGAATTCGAACCAACTATGAATGCAGGGTCAAGTCGGTACTTTCATTCCATATTTTAGCTTATTTTTTTGCATTGTTTTTTTGCTCATTCCTTTTTTTATTATATATATTTGGGATTTCTTTTTAAAAAATTAATCATGATATATTTTTTAATTTATTAAGTTAAAGTTAACTATTTGAATAGATAAAAAAAATTGTTTGTACCAGATTTGTATCAAGATATGTACCGACCCAAACTAAAGAAAGAAAGGTGCCAAACCGAAATGAATCATTAAAATTTTCTAAACCTTAACCTGATCGTTAAAAATAAAAGTTAAAAAGAAGCATCCGAACTGTTAGTTAGAAAATACATTCGAAAACGGTTTTTAAAAATACATTTTTATTGAATGATTAGCATGATGAAATATTATTTATTTTAATAGAATATATTGTTGTATCTGTCATATGGACTTTTAAAATATATTTTCTTCGAAAAGAAAGGATTATTGTTTTTGAATCATGTGATTTATTTGTTTATATAAAGATTATTAAAAATGGTGGTATGAAATATTATACGGTAATTATAGATGCTATAAGATATATTTATATTTAGATGAAATCTTGACAATTTTGATATTAATAATAATTAAACAATATTGTTTAATGTTTCGATATACATATATGATATATATTATACACTAATTCATTTAATATAAATTTTTAAAAATAAATAGTGTATATATAAATGTTTATCTTTTAAAATAAAATAAGATATTCAATTTTTTTATTTAAAATTTTTAAAGATAATAATGGAGATTTAAAATATTCTGTTTAAAAATATTTGACCAGCCCCAGGTATTTTTAATAAACAAAATTTAAACCTGGCCCTCATTGATAAATATTATCAAATAATTTTAAAATATAAATTATTATTTTGCCATGGGAATCCTTTTCGGATCAATATAAGACAAAAGGAATTGTTTTAAAATTATTTCTTGCTTGGTTAGATACAATAAGTAAAATTTAGGTAAAAAATTATAATCGGGAAATATCAGATCTGTATCGGTGAGAAAAAGTCGTTCATAGCACTATAAATTAAATTTAAAAAAAAGGTATTTGCTTAAAATATCGCTATAAAGTAGAGATGTGCTAATATATAAATTTTTCATCTACCCGAAACTATTACAAAACCGATCCGATCGCTCGAAATTTGTAATGATTTTTATTTGCCATCTTTGAACCAATGTCATAAAAAAATTAAAATTTCCTATTTAAAAATAAACTTACTTTCTAGATTGATTAAGTTTATTTAGCTTTTTATTCTCTAATCATCCCAATTTATATAGGCAATGTTTATGGCTGAATGCAGTGTGGTTGAAAAACGGCGAAATCAAGATTTTAGCCAAAATATTATTACATATGTATAGAAATTTCGTCAATAGAGGGCAAAGTGTCTAAGCTTGGATAATAATTTTTGGCCAAAGATCAAGAATATTTTTATTAAAACCTTTTATAATGCTAATTAATTTAAATCATTTGTAAATAATATAGTATTTTTCAAAATTATTACATTTTTTTTAAACATTACATAATTGAATTTTGGTTTCTTTTTATTAATTTATTATAAAATTAAGTATAAAATAAAATTATATATACAATTAGGGCTGTGCCGATATTAAATATCGGATCGGATCGACATAGATATTTAGCGTTTCCCAAAGATATCGGATCGGGCAGATATCTGTAAAAAACCGATCCGATCTTTTTACTTTTTTTTGTTATTTTATGTTATGTATATTTATTTTACATTATTATTATATTTTGTAAATAATTTTTTTTAAACAATGCAATTGCACAAAACCCTTTAAATTATATTTCTTTTTTAAAATAGATTTATAGGTTTTTTTTATAAAAATAGAAAGGAACACCCAAAGTTTTATTTATTTTAAATCTTTTTAAATAATAACGCCAATTATTTATACTTTAAATAAAAGAATTTATTTAAATATGGTATTGTATTATGGAAATATTTTAGAAAAGACAAAGATTTGCAAATTGCGTTATCCGCGGAATTATCTGAGTCTGCCTTCAGTACGGCAGGGGATATAGATAGTCCATATTGTAGAAGCTTATTGCCAGAAAATCAAGAGACTCATATTTATTAAAAAATCTAATATATTCTAATTTTATATTTTATATATTAAATATTACAATTTTATAATTCATACCAACATAAAATGAATATATTATTAAATATATTTTTTTAATTAGTCTTAATTGTAGAAATAAAAAAATTTAATTAATTGCATAATTCGATTTTTTGCATAAAAAATATTGATTTATTAATTACATTTTGTTCAATGGGGGGTGGTAAAAAATTAGTATAAATATCGGATCGGTTTTGAAGCAATATCGGATCTAATCGGTGAAAAATATATGGATCGGCACCCTATATACATCATAAAATAACCTAAAACAATAAATGTTTTTTTAATTTTCGATATTTTTTAAGAAGGCTAAATATCGGTCGAAATTTGATATTTTTAAAAATGCTAAATGTAGGCCCACATCTAATTAATATCCGCACAGCCTTACTTTCTAGATTTTGTTATGCCTCTTTTTTGTAATTTTTTAAAAGCATCTAGATAGCTAATATCTATATTTAAGAAATATTTTGCAGAGTAGTATCCAGAGTTGTTTAAGTAGCGTACTATATTTTTTGGTAGCGATAGCTAATAGCGTGCTACTTTTTTCTAATTAATTATGTATAGTGCGCTCCTTTTTTTGAAAGTAGGTAATAGCGCGCTACTTTTTTTGAAATTAGCCAATAACGCGCTGCTTAGCTACTTTTTAAAAATACAGTGATTGTAACTATAAACATGAAAATTTAAATATAAAATCATAATTAATTATAATTTTAAAAATTGAAATTTATATTTTCAATTTGTTTTATAATCCTAAATCATCTAGTGTAATTTATTTAAAATGTCATCGCAAATGGATATCCAAAGCGATGTACAAACAATTTTTGTATAAATAAAATGGAGTACAGTGGAAGAAAATGTTTTTAATAACAATAATACAAATTTTCCATTTCCAAAATTAGAAAATATTTTTAAAATAATGTAAAAACATATGTTTAAATGTAAAAAAATTTGTATCCTTAAATAAATCTAGTAGCTATAACCTCAAAAACACCTAAATGTAATTATCATTTATAAATTCTAATAGTATTTTTATCTTGTAAGAAATATCATGCCAACAGTTTTAAAGAGATAGAAAAACATCTTAATAATTTTTTATAGGGGAGACTACATCCAAAAATCAAGCTAAATTGATTAATAATATTGTAATACCAATATTTCTCAGAAACTAGCTGATAAAATAATTGTCGATTTTATAATTGATATAGTTCAGCCAATGTCATTTATTAATAATCCATCATTTACATGATAATTAAAACTATAATCCTTGTACAATAATTTGTTGTCGCCATACATTAATGATTGAAATAACAGACAAAGATGCCTTAGTTAAAACCATAAAATGACTTCCACTGATAATTTTTTTGAAATAAAAGATATGAATATAATAGAAAATCCCCATAGATGCGTTTTTTAAATCTAAAAATACAAATGAGTATTTTTATTATATTAAAAATATCTATATAAAATTAAATAATGCCTTGCACTCAAGTGCTAATGTTGAGAGATTATTTAGTAAAGCAAAACTTATACTTTCTGTTCATCGATCTAGATTTGGGAATGATAGTGTAAAAATTAATTTATTTCATAAGTTATAGTCTTTTTACTTATAATTTTTTATAATCAAAACTAACTTTAAATATTTATGTTGATTTCTATGTTTTATATACTATGCAATTACATTATAAAAAAAAATAAAATAAATTCATTTCTAAAATTTTTTTTATAAAAAGTATCTTAAAAGGTAGCCAAAGCTACTTTTAAAAAATAGTAGCTAATAGCGTGCTACTTTTATTTGATGGGCAGCGATAGCGGTAGTGATAATTTTTTTGACAAATAGTGATAGTGGTAGCACCCTACTTTTAAAATTAGGGTTTAACAATTGGTAGTCTTCATAACTGAATAAATTTGTCAGGAATTATGAATATTTTTTGTAAGGCTGTGCTAACCCACAGAATTTGATATTCACCTAAAACTGATCCAATATTTACATTGATTTTTAATATAATTAAAAGGCAACAAATAAAATTTAAAAATTAGAATTTATTTGATTAAATAAAATAAATATATTTGTTATTGCACATATTATAACAAAAAAATTATGTCACATTTTAAGCTATCATTTCTTTCAAATTAAGTTTAAAAAAATTTGATTGTTAATGTTTGAAATGTATTACTAGAAGTAATTCTTGAAATATCTTTATTTTATTTGTAATCAAATTTCTTTTTTCATTTAAATTCATATAATAAAAATAATAATGAAAAATAAACATTTTACAAAAAATACAAAATAAACAATTTAATACATAACACTTTTATTTTATTATTATAAGAAAATTATATCAAATATAAAATACAATGATAAAATAACAAAAAATAATGTTAATATCAGATCAGGTTTAAAGAACTCTAAATATTGGCCCCAATCTTTAATATGGCAGAGCCCTATACTCTTCTGAAAATAATGAAAATGATTGAATAAATAAAATGTTTCAATAAAAATCAGCATGGCTCAAACTTGATTAATAAAAAGGATTTGCCTAGCCTGTAATTTATGATAGAAAATAACATAAATTTGCCTAATTCTAAACATAGAAAGTTCTCAAAATTAAAGCCTGACATAAAAATATTTTGTACTAATTATTGAACACATAAGCCATGCTTTCAGCCATACTGTCCTCTAGTCTCATTGAACAATAAAGAGCTCATAGATGGTATATTTAAAAATGTAATGTTAATTAATCATAAATTTTAGCTCACAATGTTGTTTCATATTAATTTATTAAAGTTGATAAAATAATATTCATCTGTCCATAATTTATATTATAATGTTTTATAAATTTATCCAATAAACAATTATAAACTTTTTCAAACTTATCACATTAAAATCTGTTCTTTGACTGTGGCAGCAATTAAATCAGCCTGATAAACTAAACAATTTGCACTTCTAAACACTGCATATACATCTCCTTCCCTAAAATATTCTTTAAGAGTATTACTAAATCTTTTAGAATAGCGTACAAATTCACGTTTTTTTTGTTCAATAAGGGTTTGAAATCTCTGTTTTTGTTCTTCATTTAATGCCATAGATGGGTTATTTTTTTCCATTTGTGTATCAGAAAAACTTGATATCTCATTACCACCAATATATAAATAAACTTCATTTACTGCATCCAATAAACGTTTAATGGCACCAGCTATTTCTTTAATTGTTTCTAGAAATATTTTACGATCTCTGATTTGATCAGGAATTTTGCTTAAAACACTTTTGAGTTCTCTTGCACGCATATCAAGATCACTTATATAAGTTGGAACTATTGATGAGGATGATGGGATATTAGCCTTAGAGGATATTAAACTATCATCCTCTAATTTTGAGTGTAATACAGTGTTAGAGGATGCCAGCCTTAATATACTTTCCTGCAATTCGTTGTCAACTAAAAGAGTGGTAGTTTCCAATGCTTGAATTTTATGTTCATTTTCTTGACTTTCTTCTAATTTATTTAAATTAGTTGTTGATAAAACAGCATTCCTTAATAATATTCTAATAAAATCATAAGAAAATCCTGGTTTCACATTTTCCATTTTATTAAAAGCAGTTTGTAACTGCTTAATGCATGAGTCAATATGTGAATTATCCATTCCTATATTATTTATCATTTTATTTATAGCTGGTCTCAATACTAATGGCAATATCAATCCAGCAACTATTAAGGGGTTGGAATTAATAGAGGGATTATTTGTTATTCCTTGGTCATTAGTTGATTCCATCATATTATTTTTATTTTTTAATACAGTTTCAGATGTCATTTTTTATTGTTTCTAATTATTTACAAAATTTCATAAATATAGCAATTGAAGGTAAAAAATAATTTTTTAAACGATATTAATTTATTAGAATTTAAAATGATGGAATATATTCTGACGTTTATTTCATATTAAATTTTTCGATAAATTAGAGGCGAAAATAATTAATAAAAAAATATTGAAAAATTCCTTTAATTTTAAAAATTGTCAATACTTTTAAAATAAAATATCAAATATTTTTTTGCATCTTAACTGTATAGAATCAACAAGTACAAATTAAGACGTGGAAAATTAAAAGTTATATATTATCTTAGCTTGTTCTTTCCATATCTATAAAAACAAGTGTGAATCTATATCATAGTTGTTAAAGTAGGAGATATTGTAACGATGATAGGAAATTTGATATGCTTTCTTTGTATAGACGGTATCGGCGATGCTTTTGAGAATCCGTGGTAATATTACTATATTTATATTAATCAGTATCAAAAAATCAATTTATTTCCGATATTATTTGTCTTAAATAATAGTATAATTCGTTTTAATAAAAATTGGAAATACAAAAAGATATTAGATACATAATTACATTTCTTATTTTGATTTGATTTCTTTAAATTCAAATATCATGAGATAATCCTTAGATTTATTATAAATGATGACTATCAATTTTAATTATAATCTTGATAAAATTTTAAAAATGTATTATTTTTACAAATTGAAATATTTAGTATTGATGTTATTTTTAAAAATTATATATATGTTATTATAATAATTTTGTTTTATCGGAATTGTATATATATAATTTAAATGTAGCATTACGAATAAATCTGAGGAAACTGCATTTGTTTTATTTAGGTATCGATGGACCATTAGGAATTTATTCAGATATCCAGTGTTCGCATTATAGTAGCGAATTTGAAATAAAAAATATCGATATCGTTCAATAATGTGTAATATAAGTCCTTGGGGATAATGCCAAATTGTAATTGATTTCGGAAATAAAGTAATATTGCATAAATTCTTTTAATAAAAATCGACTTTTATTTTGCCACAATAATAAAATTATTTATTATGGCTAAAATTAATTACATAAAAAAATAATTTGCTTTTGCCTCAAAAAAATAACATCATTTTAATTCCATTGTATTTAGATATGAGAAAATATTAAAAAACATCACTTTTTTAAAGGAGACCAGATTTATAGCGATTTAAAAATAATATTAAATTTCTTTAAAAAATATTTAATAATTTTATATTTCATGAAAAAATTGAGTATTTTTTCAAATATAATTTTAAGGAAATTATAATATTTTATAAAAGAAATTTTAATAATAAATTTATGATAAAAAAAAATTAATCCTTAAATATATAATCCTCACTATAATCCATGGAGTTTTAAATAATATATGATGGGTGTATAAGAATATTAACCATACCCGCTTAATTTATCACAGTGTAAGCCTAGGAGTGGTCTAAAAAAGTTGTCAATGAATATGAGATTAGCATGTTAACCTTGTATTTTGAACTTATATTTAAAAATAATGTATAGTATATAAATGTAGACAAAAGGAGACTGGGAAATATACGTTGGAATATTCGCAATCTTTGGCAAATATCATTTTACACGGGTATGACTAAAATACGCGTCCCCGAAAACTACGCGTCCCTACGCGTCCCCGGTCAAACGGGTTTAATTTATATAATATTAATAAAAAATCTAATTTAGCTTTATAAGATGAGTTAAAAAATGTTTTTTATGATTTAAAAAAAAAATGATAACTTAGTAAATTTTTTAAAAATTTATTTTTTTACATGAAAAAACGACGCATCCCTACGCGTCCCCGGTCAAGATATAATTTTTTTAAAAAAATAAAAGCAGATTCATATTTAGCTCATTAATGGATACATAAAATGTTTTTTTTGATTTTAAAAAAAGTGTTAACTTAGTAAAATTTTTAAAAAATTATTTTTTTTAATTAAAAACGACACGTCCCTACGCGTCCCCTGTCAAGATACATTTTTAAAAAAAAATAAAAGTAGATTCATATTTAGCTCATTAAATAGATACAGAAAATGTTTTTTTTGATTTAAAAAAAAAGTGGTAACTTAGTAAAATTTTTAAAATACTAATTTTTTACATAAAAAACTACGCGTCCCCGGTCAAGATACAATTTTTTTTTTAAATAAAAGCAGATTCATATTTAGCTCATTAAATGGATACAGAAAATGTTTTTTTTTTATTTAAAAAAAAGTTGTAACTTAGTAAAATTTTGAAAAAACGCTTTTTTTCTTCATTTTTTGCCTAAAATACGCGTCCCTACGCGTCCCCGGTCAAGATAGATTATTTTTATAAAAATGAATATAGAATCGTGTATAGTTTTTCAAGGAGATTCCGAAAATGGTATTTATAATTTTTTTTTGACTAAACAACGCGTCCCTACGCGTCCCCGGTCAAGATACATTTTTTTTAAAAATATAAAAGCAGATTCATATTTAGCTCATTAAATGGATACCTAAAATGTTTTTTTTATTTAAAAAAAAGTGGTAACTTAGTAAAATTTTGAAAAAACACTTTTTTTCTTCATTTTTTGACTAAAATACGCGTCCCTACGCGTCCCCGGTCAAGATAGATTATTTTTTTAAAAATGAATATAGAATCGTGTATAGTTTTTCAAGGAGATCCCGAAAATGGTATTTATATATATATATATTTTTTAAATTAATTTTTGACAAAATTTTTTTTTGTCTAAACTATGCGTCCTCAGTCAATATACGTTTGTTTAAAAAAAATAAAAGCATGTTCATATTTAGCTCATTAAATGGATACAGAAAATGTTTTTTTTGATTTAAAAAAAAAGTGGTAACTTAGTAAAATTTTTAAAATACTAATTTACATAAAAAAAACTACGCGTCCCCGGTCAAAATAGATTATTTTTATAAAAATGAATATAGAATTGTGTATAGTTTTTCAAGGAGATTCCGTTGACCGGGGACGCGTAGGGAGGCGTATTTTAGTCAAAAAATGAAGAAAAAAAGTGTTTTTTCAAAATTTTACTAAGTTACCACTTTTTTTTAAAATAAATAAAAATATTTTCTGTATCCATTTAATGAGCTAAATATGAATCTGCTCTTATTTTTTTAAAAAAAATGTATCTTGACCGGGGACGCGTAGGGACGCGTAGTTTTTTTATGTAAAAAATTAGTATTTTAAAAATTTTACTAAGTTACCACTTTTTTTTTGAATCAAAAAAAAATATTTTCTGTATCCATTTAATGAGCTAAATATGAATCTGCTTTTATTTTTTAAAAAAAATGTATCTTGACCGAGGACGCGTAGGGACGCGTAGTTTTTAATTTAAAAAAAATAATTTTTTAAAAATTTTTACTAAGTTATCATTTTTTTAATTCATAAAAAACATTTTCTATATTCATTTAATGAGCTAAATATGAATCTGTTTTTATTTTTTAAAAAAAATTGTATCTTGACCGGGGACGCGTAGGGACGCGTAGTTTTTTCATGTAAAAAAATAATTTTTTAAAAATTTTACTAAGTTATCATTTTTTTTTAAATCATAAAAAACATTTTTTAACTCATCTTATAAAGCTAAATAAGATTATTTATTAATATTATATAAATTAAACCCGTTTGACCGGGGACGCGTAGGGACGCGTATTTTAGTCATGCCCTTTTACACTAATAAAAATTCCCTTTCCCCTCCCCTTTTCCCCCATTCCCAGAGAATAAACACAATATCAATATATTAATGGGGGGGGGGGGTGTAAAAGTTTATCTGGGGCCAATATATTTTGGAGATATTTGTTTTTTAGTCATTAGAAACAAATTCAATATCCATGTATGGAGGCCATAACTATTTTTAGTAGGGTCACGCCGCCCGGTGCGGGGTTTTTTTAAACAATATTTTCTTCAAGGCTTGCATAATATTTTTGGCTAAAATATTTAGCTAGCCGTTTTTAAAAATAGAACTGTTCAACAACACTAATTTCTATAAGTAATTTCTAATCTATGTTCATATTTTGGCAAATAATCCTGGCTCAGCATATGATGCCAAAATATCATTTTTACAAATAAATTATAAAAATCACTTACTGGTAGCAAAATGTTTATATCCTATTGATTTAACATTTTCCACACATGTTCATTAAAGTCTTAGCTGTAAAATAATATTGGTACCTTTATAGCTTATTCTGTGACCGAAATATCAATATATAATTAATAAACTTCATAACTTTAACGAAAACAGATAGCAATTTTTAATGTAAAAATAAATAAGTTATTTTCAATGTAAAAATAAAATAGTGGCCTAAATCATTTTTCCTAATTTATGAAAGTTTATTAATTTTTTAAAGTTGGAGAAATTAATAAATTTTCATAAATTTTAGCTTAACGTTTAAAAAGATATGAAAGTTTTACGAAAAAAAGTAATTAATATTAATTAAAATATTTCAAATTATAATAAGAAATGTTATATTAATCGGGAAACATTTAAGTTAAATGAGAAGTATGAAAATAATTTAAGGAATTATAAATGTCAAAATTTAAAAAATTTTTAAAATATTTTAATAGAAGATTTTGGGCAAGTTTCATAATTTTATAAATGAAAATTTTAAAGTTTTGAGGCGTTTAAAAATATATTTAGTGCAATAATTGTATAATAAATTTCGTTTTGCGGTAAAATAGCTAAGAGAAAAAAGTTAAAATGATCAGTCTTAAAATGTTAATGTCTATACACCATATAAAAAAAAGTTTTGAGGAAGAAGAAACATAATTAAAAAATTGGTTGTTACATGGAATAAAATTCTAAAAAATAGTTGCAAAAACGAAATAATAGAAATGTATGATGATCTGTCTAAAATGTTCACACGCAAAATGTGTAAATATCTATAATATCTTTACATTCCATTATTGTGTTGATTATTTTATAATTAAAAGTAATAAATAATGCCAGTTTTTTGACCACTTTTCCCTGGTTCTTAGTCATTTTACCCTAGGTTTACATAATTACACATTGCTCTTAAAGTATTATTGGAGAACATTACCCATTTTTATTTTGTAGGTGAGGGATTGGGCTAAATAATGAATTATAATTTGTTTTGTTTCACTTTTGCTTAAAATTTTTATAGTAAAAATGCAAAATACCGATCGTTTTACTCCGGTCACCCCTGATTTTAGACGTGTATTTGTCTAATTTTAATTATCAGAATTGTTTTTTTTACGTTCAATAAAGCTTCTACTTTATTATTAAAATATATTCCAATTTTAATCAATATCATCATTAAAAACTAATATGTTATGTTTAAACAGGTAGTTGATCGTAGATAAAACATGCAGACAAATGATAAACAAAAGTCCCCTAGGGAAAAGCAACCGGACAAAAATTTCCACGGACAAATAAGACAAAATACCCCCAAACAAAAAACAATAATAACCCGGACAAAAATACCACAATCTAAAAAAATAAATTAAAATACTTAAAAAAAAGAGAAATATTAACTTGAACTAATAAAAAATTTCAAAATATGTTCTTGGGTAAGAAGATAGTATACAATATTAACCTCACGTGTATACTAGGAATTTATTAGAGACGGCTATAAGGCTGTCACTCGGTAAAGTAACTTAATGGTACGACTGCCCAGAATTAAAACTGATAATTTGGGGCTGCTAAGTATATTTAATTTTATGAAACTAGGTCGCATGCTTTTAGCTACGTCCTAAGATACCGGACAAGCCCTCAAGTTGTAAAAAGAACTTTAAGATAGGTAATGTGTTAGCACTTATTTGATAAAATAACGTTGTAAGAATGACAACGGTTTAATTAAATTTAAAAAAAATATGGTCTAGAAATAAGGTCAAACCGATTTTTTTTAAACGGTCAATATCAAGATTTTAACCAAAAAAATATTACCCTAAGTTTCGAGATTTGATCAAAAAATGGCTAAATCCTTTGGCTATTATTATGCGAAATCTTTAGGCTTGGGTATATTTTGACTAATAATCAAGGCTTTCGACAATACTAGCCAAGGGTATTATAATATGATTTTGTAAATGTTAAGAATTCCAATAGTTTATTTTATTAATAATATTTAGCGCCGTCGATTCAATTGTGGAGAAACAAGAATATTCATTAGTTTAAAAATGAATTAGTAACAAAGGTTGTGATAGTAATTATACTGTCTTATGGTTTCAGAACTTACTATATATATTTTTTTAAATTTTTTGAATAAAGAAAAGTTAAAAGAATAAGAATACGATATAAACTATAGATATTTTTTGTTCAAAAAAATGTTTTACCCAACGAGTAATAAATCAATGAAGATACAAAGAATATTGCTACGACATTCAGATTACAGGGTATGTATGATATCATTGTCCGAATCTAATATCAAATGAAGGTAAATCTTAGAATCATTTATCCGGGAACCTCCGTTTATATTTTAAGAATAATAGCAATCTATAGTAGTTTTTTTATTAGCATTAATTATATTTTGATGATTATTAAACTTCATCTAGAATTATAAAATAAATTAGGATCCATAAGCGGGTATTTTATTTTTTAGCAAATAAGATTTAATGGATAGGAATGATTAATTTTAATTATTTTATAGTTAATTAATTTTACTTTGATCATTTTATTTTAAATGCCAAATTATTTTTTATAAAGGCTAACGATTAACTAATATTGAAAATGTTTATATTATATTAACTAAAACCGATAATGGTTTTAAAAAAAATAGTATTTAAACTAATAGAAAATTTTAATTCTTATAAAGGACAAAATAGCTATATAATATTTAAAATAATAAAAAGCTGAGAATTAGCCTATCAATTTCATTATTCTTTTATTCAAAAAATTTATATTGTAATTGTAACTGTAAGGTGATGCATCCTCAAAGTGATTTTATTTATATTTTAGGAGAGGATTATAAAAAGATAATACTTGACTAATAATCCTATATATAAGACTTATCGAAACATATTTGACTAATAATCGTTTATATAAGACATAATGAGAAAATTTTTTTAAAGTTTTTTTGATGTCATAAAATATTATTTAATATGAGGTCTAGTAGTAACTAGTGAATTAGTTGTATATAGAACCAAATATGATTTTAATGAAAAAATGAAAAAAATATATATAACTTTTATTATATATTATAAAAATAAAATATAATTATGTGTATTATAATATTTCCTTAAAATAATTTTTATATTGCCTTTCAATCAATAATTCATAAAATATACATAATTATTTGAAACAATAAATTAAGGTAAGTGGCTTTTAAGTGGCCTATTTTTTTCTCTTTTTATTAAAATATTTTTTTTTCTTTTACTTTTTACCTTTTTCCACATAAAAAACTTAGATTGTCCAATATATTGAAATTTATATTTAATATTATAATTTAATAAAAATCAATAGAACTTAATTTTTTTAAGACATTCTCATGGCTAAAGAAAAAAAAAGTTAGAAATCAATTGTGTCAGCAAATATAATAGAAAGCATTCTTTGACAGAATTTTGCCTGATATATTTATTTTATATAATATAATATTCCCTATGCAATAAAGTTATCTTTAAAAAAAATTTCTAAGTGCCGTAAATTCATGAATTGTTTAAAAAAATAAAATAATATTCAACCAACCAGTATATTTAAATATCTTTAACTAAAATACCTTTTAAAAATAAATTAATAAATTTTATATAATTTTAAAATCTGATAAAGGTTTAAAATTTAAAAATATCCTTTCGCCTTATATTGTATTTATTAAAATAAAAACTTGTAGCTTCTATTAACGAATGTTCTTTAGAAAAATATTTCTATGGAGCACGGAAAAGCTATAAGGGATCAAGAAGAGAGAAAAGAAGATTGTGAGATTAATTTTCTCGAGGTTGTAGAGTTTCTGAGGGTCTCTTGAGAGCTGTTATTGGAGTAAAAGACTATTTTATTATTTGTGTTGAAAATTGTCATTTTTTAAAAAAAATGATAGATAAATTTGACATGATGATTAGTTTTAAAAAAACAAACCTCATGTATTGTAGTTAAGCATTATATATTGGCTTAAAATACAGAATTAGTGTATGAGATGTTTGGCAAACTTCATGCTTAAGACTGCGTCTCAATATTAGATTCAGATTCCTATTAAATTTTGAACTAATATTTTACACAAAGGATAAAAAATTATCTATATAAAGATCGTATTCAAAATAAATTGAATTAGAGAAATCCCTTATTTCACTTAGATGTAAATTATTTTTGAATCACCATTCAAAATTCGATGAAGACAGTCTAATATAACTCTTGGTTATTGACTGGCAAAATTGATTGAGAACTCAATGATTAATATATTAATAAAGCCTGAGTTCCTTTGCGCATTTTATAAAATAAGACTTCGAGAAAAAGTATAGGGCAGGATAGCAAAAAATATTTTGTTCTAATAAATTTTATAAATTTAAGGCTCTCTACCATTGAATCAATCTTGTTCCTATTTTTTAAAAATAATATTCAATTAATATGATCATAAAAATAAATATTTCAAAATATAATAGTTATTAGCAATTAGTGTTGTTAATCAACTAAATTAGTCGGCTAAAAGATGACTAACAAATAGTCATAATTAATCGATTAAGTTGATCCATTTAGTTGGCCTAATTGATTCATTTAATAGGTTTAGTTAACCACTTTAGTTGACAAATTTTTGAGCCGAGCTTGCATCAATGTATATTCGGGGTAAAAATATAAATTGTGAACATATTATATTGGTATTTCAATGAAGATGAACCATAGAAAAGTGACAATTGTCATATAATCTTTATTTTTAAATTTTTTTGACGCAAATGAATAAAAAAAAAATTGTAAACATGTTAAATTGAGATTTTAGGGAAGATGAACTAAATGTACCATAGTAAAGTGACAATTGTCTGAATCGTTATTTTAAGCTTTTTTGAATTTTTTTACTGATACGAGCGGGTTTTTAACCCACGCCCTCCCATCTAAAGGTGAGAGAGTAAAATAATTTTATAAAACGGACGAGCGGACGGGTTAAATAATTTTTAACCACGTCATGTATATAAGTTATAAACAGCAAAATAAATTTTAATAAAAATATAATTTATGATTTTAAAATCAAGACAAATTTTATGGACTTGTCAAAAAGTCCAAAATCTTTGTTTTCTCTACATTTTTGAAACAAGTATATCGTTTTATAAATATTATTAGGTAAAGATCATATTTTACTTATAACAAGCGCGTACCAAGCGATGAATCCTCTCCACCATAGCAAAAATCTTTCAAAAAATATAAAATGTTTTCATAATATGATAATTGCAAAGTAATCTATTTCAAATATATTATATTTTATTTTAAAAATTAGCAAAAAGTTAAAAACTTTAAATATTTTTTCTTTGTATTTTTTAGCTCATAAAAATTTTAAGTTTATTTTCTTACATTTTAAAACCTTAAACACTGATGGATACAGGAAATTAAAAAAATTCATTTAATTTATCTCTATTAATAAATATGATTACTTAAATTTCTTGTTTATATGAATTGTTCAGATATCCAATTAGACAGAATTTGCTGAATAGAATTATTTCTATGATATAGAAAGAAGGAAACTGCAAAAAGCACTTGATAAGATGGGACCTTCGACATAAAGCTGTTACAGCCTTTTTGGATCTAATTAGCCTATTTCGATGCCCTTGGAGAAATATCCTAATGGATTGAACCAGAAATTTCATCTGAATCATATATATGGTTAGATTCAATACGACTAAACATAAATTCTAAATTATAAACTAATCTCAATTATCATTATAAAAAACATTTTTTTTTTTTTAAAGAATGAATTTTTTATTAGTCAAATTGAACGTTAAAAGTAAAACATATATACGTAATTTAAAAAAATATATTAAAAATATCATGTAAACTATTTGTAAAATAAAATCTATATAAAAACTGTATAATAAAAAAATTAGTATAATAAATTGTATGTTGGGATTGACAATATTTTTAGTAATTTATTATCTTGAAATCAAATTTTAATTAATCGAGAAGACCAGTTGCAGGTTTTGGCGGGGTACTTATTAGCCATTTGCAGGTATTATTTTGAATAAAAAAATCCAATTAAATTTATAAAAGCATTCGGGGCACGAATGACAATAGATGATTGACTTATTTTTCTGTAAATTATATGACGGTTTTAAGTGACCAACCGGATGATATATATAATTATGGATGAACTTGGTTTTGACAATTTATTTACCTAGGAGTCAGCTTAATTTTTATACAAAAATTTTCAAAAATAAAATGCGCTATGATACACCCCACACGAAAGGATAATAGATACCAAGGGTGTTTTTATATTTCTTAAATTTTCATTTTTTTAAATTTTATAAATAAAATACTAAAAGATTTTTTTCTTAAATATTAATTTCTACCTTAATTTTCTAATCTATATTTTATCACTTAAATTTTTTATGGCCAATATAACCTCAGCCTCCCCTAAGCATCTTTTTACACATAAATAAAACTAATTATATTAATAAAATAGAATGAAATATCGTACAAAGAAGAAAATAAGAAGTAAAAAAAAGTTTAGATAGCCTCCTTGGAAAGTAAACTAATATAATATTCGAAATTATTCATAAATATTTGAAATTATTTATAAGCCTGCACTACGAATCCTATGAACGAGTTACTTTAATACTAATCTAATCTATCATAAAAATTTTACGATATAAGATTTTAAATAATTTAAGAAATTTTATACAAGATTTTTTTTATTGTGAAATTATCATAAAACATTGAATATAAATATGTTCCTATAAAATAAAATTTTCATAAATATGGCATTCATGGCAACATGATGCTTGATGTAGACAGATACCTTTTTTGTAATGTCCGCAGATTTCAATTTTGACGGGCAAAACTTGCATATAGTACGAATAAAATGGGGTAGATTTTCCTTTTTTTCTGATGGGTTATCTCTGATATGTTCATATATAAGGTGGCTTTGAGTTAACATTTTTAATTTTTACGAGCATAGTTTTTTAGTTCTAATGATGACAACAATTTTTTTAAATAAAAATTAAATAACAAGAAAAAAAATTATTGCAAGCACACCTTAATATAAGAATTTGGATATTTGACAAATGTGCTAGGTAAATCGTAATATTTAGAAATATTTAACATGTTCCTTGCGAAACTTCTTATTTTTTACCTTTTTTCCACATCTATAAATCACTTTATAAATTTTATAAACTATTTTTTCATTTTTGGAAATATTTTTAAAGAATTTAATTTTCGAATTGAATGTTTATTGAATCAAATCGAATAATGTTTTAATTATGTACGATACGAATAATGCAATTATTCGATTCAATCGAATATGAATAATGCTATATTCAATTCGTATTTTGTAAGGCATACTTGGTAAAAAAACTTCAAAGTAATTTGACCTGGTTTTTATAGTAGTTTAAGATTTTGTTATATATCTACAAAATTTCATAATTATTGATTTGATATTTTTTAAAATATTTGCAATTTGTTAAACTTGAGGGTATGGGGTTATTCCGGATGTGAACAAAAAAATATGCTTGAACCAACAATTATTTAATATAATGAAATTATAGCAATTATTTTTGTTAATGGTAATTTTTATAATATTTTGGTTATTTAAATCAAAAAGCTCAAAATAGAGCTGGTTTCTTCTATATTTATTAACAGGTATTATTTATCGTGTATTAACTCATTGGTAAAGATCATATTTTTTTTGTTGTAATTGACAAATAATCGACTTTAATAATTTTCAATGGTGCTTTAAATTTTATAAACACAATATCCAAAACAAAATGAGATGGATCATAAATAGCTAAAAATTGTTAATTTTTCTAATAAATATTCTCTAAAATAGTATAGATAATGATATATTTTAGTCTAGAGTGGTAGTTTTTAATAATATTTATATAACATCTGCTGCGAATATAAATATTCTCACTTTTCTATGGTTTATCTTTACTGAAATCTCAATTTACCATGTTTGCACTTTAATTTTTCCCTGACTATACAGTGATACAAGTTCGGCTTTAGAATTCAATTTAATCAACTATAGATCAAATAAGCCGGCTAGATGGTTTAACTAAGCTCGACTATCAACTAATTTAGTCACTAAAGTTTTTAGTCGGTCTCCTCGATTACGACTATTAGTCGGCCTAACGGTCGGGATGTTAAGTCCAATTTTAGAAAAAAGACCGGACCAAATTGAACCGCTACAAACACTAGTTACCATATTCTTTCAAACAAAAAGCGTGAGATATTAAAAGAGAAAGAAAGAAAATTTAAAACTATTTTTGATACTTTTATTTCTCTATATTTTATGTTTTTTATTATGTTTTTAAATTAGGGAAGATAATAGGCTAAGTATGCAGTGCATCTATAAATATATAACTAAGAGATTTCATATTGTTATAGATGAATGTCGCATTCGGATATTGAATTTACTGTATTATCATTAGAGATCTGCAAATCCGGGCCCGGCCTGAGTACCACCCTGCCTAGTATTTAAAAAATAATTTTCGGTTTGGGGTAGGTCGGGCCAATTATTTAAAAAAAAATTCGGGCAGGGTCGGACTTAAAATTTTAAATATGATATCATTCAATTTTGTGAAATAAATTTATATACTTTAAAATTATTGCAAGAAACAGGGCTCCAATATTTTTATAAAAAATATTAAATTTTTCGATATTTAAATAAATTCAAGCATGGTCGGGTAAAAATATAAATTTATTTCGGATCGGGCTATTCATGATAAATTCTATATGTGAGTGGGTGGGCGGGTTAAGAAATTTGAAATCATTTAAGTAAATATTAATAAAAAATTTTGTTTTGAACTTTTTTGGATATTAAAAATTTATATGTCCTTTTTTGTTATCATAAAAACCTTTTTCTTAAAATAAATAAACTTTTTTGTATATTTAAAACTACTTTGGTGGAAACTACAAGAAATAGATTTGCCAAAGCTATTAGGATAAGCAAGAAAAATTGGCAATTCCTGCAAATAGTGTTTCTTCTCAACGAGGATTTAGCTATGATCGAAGGTTTTTAGAGCAAAACATGTTTGAATCCAGAAAATGTCTATTCATTATTATTTTTGCATTATAATTACATAAAGTATCAATTTTATATTTATATTTTTTTCATAAATATTTTATTTGATCATATAAATTATACATAAATTAAATTGAATATATTTTTATGCTTAATATAGTAATTTTTTAAATTATAAAACTTTTTATAGAGGTGTAACGCTGAAATTTACTTTATTAGATGCTTAAAAGAATGGCCATAATTAAATTTTATAAAAGTGGGCTTGGGTTATAATTATTTTATAAATAATAGGTGAGCGGTTAAAAAATTTTAGACTAATGAACGGGTGGGTGGGTATATTTTTTTTGAAACTATGGGCGGGCTGGGCGAGCGGGTTAAATTTTTTTAAAACATTGGGTGAGCTGGCTTATGATCCAAAAGCCCGCCCAATGCAGACCTCTAGGGTGGGATAAGACTATTTAAATATTTTTTTTACAATGAATATGAATAAAAAATTTTTTATATTATAATTTAAAAATAAGGTCATAAAATTCCACCGATATCTATGAAAATTAAAACATATATAATTATGAATTTTAAAAGAATCCATAAATTTTTCATTTATTTTGTTTTCCGCGGGCTGTATTTTTCTTTGAAAATTTTTCATGCACTCGCGTTTATTCCTTTTTCATATTTTGATATATGGATCTAGAATACATTCTGATATCGAAAGTCCATCAGCATTTATGAACCATAAATTTGATAAATTGTATGCTCTTAAACTCGCATCTACCATGATCAAAATCATAAGATTAAAGTCCCTTTCACACTCGGCAATAATGTATGATAAAATAGCTAAGGAATTTTTTAAATTTGTCATTAATAATATTTTCATCGAATATTGTCGAAGCCCAGCAATTGTTTTATATTGTTAATAGATCGACTTTTGTTTAAACTAATTTCGTTTTATTTTTTTTTGTTATTTAATGTTGTAATGATTAACTTCGATTTGTATTTTGTTTTTTTATATCCTAATGATATACCTTCTTTTTATTTTACTTTAAAATTTTATTAACACATTGATTTATATTCTAAAATTTTGATATATATATAGTTAAAAAATTGTTTAAAGATGATTAGAAATGTAATATATAATAGATAGAAAATATTTTAAAAATGTAAAAATGCAGTTTCTTGTTATATTATAATAAAATAAAAAAGGACTATTGTATTGAATATATGATTTGTTAAATATTTCCAACATGGTTCATATAACCCAACATATTGTCCAAATATCTGACATTTGCTCCTACGACGATAAAAATGTATTCCTTCTAATAATTAAATGAGTAAAATTACTATTACAAATATAAAATAAAAATTAAAAAGTATAATAAAATTAAAGCCATAAAAGATAAAAAAAAAATTAATAAAAACTTAAAATAAGACTGTTATCAGCGATCATCCGTGAGAGGATTTTCTAAAATCTAGTTCGAAAGATATGGACTTTCTATAACTATGGCCGAATTCAGCGGCCAACTACTTCCATTATGATGCTGACAATGGCAAAGTATATAACGATTTTTAACGTATTTCAACAATTACTCCTTTTCACCACCAAGGAGAATGACTTGAGAGTTTCCCCAAAGGTGAGAATAATAATATATCGAGTTTTGTTCAAATTAATTTTGATTTATTTTTATGTTTTTGTTATAACACTTAACTTCTATTTATTTTTTGTTTTAAATTTTTCTATATAATCTAGAGATATATTTACGTTATTTTTACTTTTAAATGTTTAAAACTCATTCATTGATATTTTACATTAATATATACATAGTGTACTTGTTTAAAAGATAATTAAAAAAACGTAAATTATTTTTAAAATGTAAAATTGTAATGTTTATTTTTATATTATAATAAATTAAAAATGACTAAAGTATTGAATCTATGATTTGTTTAAACTTAAATTCCTGTATTTCTAACATGGTTCATGTTAATATATTTGAATTTTATTTTAAATTATATTAATTTAAATTTTTACCTTACGGATATTGTAATATTTCTTTCACTTGATATAATATTAATAGTTTAATCGATTGTTATCAATAAATTGAATTCGGAAAAGTTAGTTGTATAGTTGTATTTTAAAATGAATTAAATAAAATAAATATATTTTTTATAAATCCATGCCTACCTTTCACCTTTTCGGATCATATTATACCAACACATATTCAATCAGTTTGAATCTCTCGCCGAATCTTTATCTGTTTCTCTCCAAACAGCATATATAGGTTCTTAAGTTATTTTCTTTTTGAATAAAGAATACATCGGAAAGTATTTATAAAATAAAAAAAAAACTTAATTCAAATCAATTTACTTTACTTTTTAATAAGTCAGGTATAATGACTCAAAGAGTTAGGGCATGTATGAGGGCCTATTTGTGGCCTTAAATGCGTTGAGCTGTTGATCTGACCTGCTAATTAAAGATATCTATGACTTCCCTCCCTACAGTGACTTGGGGATTTGAGAACCATGAAATTTTCAAATGGAGACTTTTAGAATAGTAATAATACTAACATATTTATAAATTATATTTAGACTTATTTGATTTGCTACAAAATTTTTTTAAAATAAAATTAGAATTTAGCAATTATCATCTGTTTAATATTATTCCTCTTGGAAAACTTACCAATTATTTGCATTAAACGATTTTTGATTCATTATCATGGAACCTTTAATTCCAGTCATCAATAAACTACAGGATGTATTTAATACAATTGGATCAGATCTGATAATGCTTCCTCAAATTGTTGTTGTTGGCGCACAAGTAAACAGCAATATTAAAAATATTTTATTAAAACATTTAGAGTTCAGGGAAAAGTTCTGTTTTAGAGTGCATTGTTGGTAAAGATTTTTTGCCGAGAGGGGTAGGCATTATAACTAGAAGACCTATTATTTTGCAATTAATACATGTTTCTAAAGATGATTATAAAGAGGTCAAAAATTCTAATGGGAAAGGTTATTAAATTATAAAAAATTGAAAATTAAATATACAGCAGATAATAATCATGAAATAACGGAATGGGCAAAATTTTTGCATACCAAAGATAAAATATTTACAGATTTTGATGAAGTTAAGTTAGAAATTGAAAGAGAAACAGAAAAATTAACTGGAAATAACAAAGTTTTTGATCAACTTCATTTTAATATTAATTAAATATTATTACAGGGTGTAAGTGATGAACCCATTACTGTGAAAGTGTTTTCTCCCAAAGTCCTAAACCTAACATTGGTTGATTTACCAGGGCTTACTAAAGTTAAATTTTCATAAAAACTTAATATTTATGTTCTATTAAACAAAAACTCCAATTAGAAATTTTTAAACATAATTATACCTGTTTTTTAGGAACATTTTTACTATAAGCTCTTTTTAGAGCCATCTATATTTTTAAAATATACATTCACTTTTAATATATATATATATTCATTTTTTATTTTGATATTTTATTTACAAGTTTTAAAGATAAATGAATAATAATTAAATCTATTTATAAATATAATTGCTATTGTTTTTTTTTTACAATAGGTTCCAGTAGGTGACCAGCCTTTAGATATAGAACTTCAGATAAGAGAAATGGTATTACGATATATATCTAATCCAAATAGTATAATCCTTGCAGTAACACCAGCAAACACAGATATAGCAACATCTGAAGCTTTGAAGTTGGCCAGAGAAGTTGATGAAGATGGTAATAAAAATATTTATATATAAACTAAGCTTTATTATATTTTATAATTAAAAAAATATGAGTTATTAAAAGATATTAAAATATGTTTTTAATTTTTAATATTTACCATTACATTATATTTTAATTTTAAAAAATATATTACTTGTTAAAATACAATTAATTATTTTTATTTATCAATATAATAAAAAAAAAAGTTTCAAAAATTACCTTGCTTATAAATAAATAATTTATTATTTGTAATATTTAAATATATAAGGGCGCAGGACATTAGCTGTCATCACAAAATTAGATTTGATGGATGCAGGGACTGATGCTATGGATGTATTATGTGGAAGAGTTATTCCAGTCAAGTTGGGAATTATTGGTGTAGTTAATCGATCTCAACAAGATATTAACAATAGAAAGGTTAATTTAAACTTTTTTATTTCTTAAATATTACTAATATAAAAATACACACAGTCAATATATTTAAAGTCCAATACTGTTTTGGCAAATTTCCCAATTCTTTTTTTATGATATCACATCTCAAAAAACCATTTAATTCAAAAATGAATAAATTTTTTTATCTTTATAGACTATTGAAGAAACCCTTAAAGATGAAACATTATTTCTATATAAAAAATATCATACATTGGCCTCTCGTAATGGAACATCATTCTTGACCAAAATCTTGAATAGGGTACATTTCAGATTTTATTTTTTTTATACTAATATAATTGATTAAATTTTTGAATAATAATATATAATTGATAATCTTCTACTACATTAAATTAACTAATTTTGACATCTTATTTCATTTAAACTAAAATATTAAAATAATCAAATTTAAAGTTGTTGATGCGTCACATTAGAGAATGTTTGCCAGATTTGAAAACCAGGGTTAATATATTATCTTCTCAGTTCCAACAGTTACTCAATACATTTGGAGAGAACATAGACGATAAAGTAAATTATAAATAGCTACTCATGCACATGAATATGATTAATTTTTATAAATAGCTACTCATGCACATGAATATGATTAATTTTTATAAATCATAGTAGAATTGTTTTTAAGCCCCTCTTCCCCTCCCCTTATTAATATGGTAGTAATCAGAGTGAAAAAATTACTTGAATATGTATTTCTTTAATTTACAAAATACTTTAAAAATATATTTCGTTACATGCTCTAAACTACATTTTAAAATAGTTCACTAAATACAATGCAATAAACAATTAGCTTAAAAGCTACATAAAATACTTTACATTTAGTTAAAATTAAATATTTAAAATATGACGGATGTACAAATAAGATATTTTACAATATAATTTCTTTATTTTAATAAATATCAATATTGATATTATAATAAAAATGAATAAAACATAATTTGTCCCTTTAATGGTGACCAATTTTTGCAAAAAGATTTTAGATACTAAAACCTACTTCGAATGACGCTCTTTTTCAAACATCTTTAAAATCTGTCATCTAGAATGGCAGATTCTTTGTGAAGAATAAAATAGATATACACCAAAATGATTTCTTTCTGAATATAAATATATATTTTTTTCTTTTATCATGATTTCTATTTGCTTATAATGATCATCTTCATCTATTGTATTTTTATGTATTATCTTCTTCATTTTCATGTAATTCTTCTAGATTAATAAAAGTGACTTCCTAAACGTCCGTTTTGTAATTTATGAAATATTTTCTCTCAATAACAATTTATTAAAATTATGCAAATACAATTGTAAATTCCACCAAGGAACAGTTTGCACCTATAAAAATTTTTAGCTCATAAAATAAAAATACAAACAGCTGAACCAATGGAATTCCTATTCCTTAGGTAGAATATGCAATTACAAATTCTAAATTTATGGAACACAATTTTGTTTTTCTTATTTTTTTATGCACGGGAATTCTAAATCTCGATTAATCATTTATTAAGGGAGATGATTTAGAAATTTGATTTTTGATCGAAATTGTATTCCAGGATGTAAAGAATACACACCAGAATTTAAGGCAATATTGCTTATAAACATTTGTATATATAGTTCATTTATATGAAAAATTTATATGGAAATTAATATAATGAAGCAGACTTCAAAAATTCATGGAAAAATTGTCTAAAATTTACAATATGCATACTCTGCATATGCTGTAATATATTTCCTATCATATCCGATATTTTATTTTTAAATATTGCTATCATAAAATGATTTTAAATTGAGAAATTTGGAACCCTATGAATTTCATATCCGGATACGACATATATATTATCTTTAATCACGAGTATTAAATATTTAGTTTTATGCAAATTATATATTTTTACTAAATAATGAGATATTTTAAAATTAGAAAATAAATATGCAGATGTGTTTGAGCTAGACTTGTGCGCCGAAGTCTCAATTGACGGCGGCTCTTTTTTAAATATTTTTATCGCCGTTCGGCGGTGCGCCGATTTTTCAGCCGCCTAATAAATTAATGGCGGCCGTGGCGCGCTATTTATTAAAAAAATTTTAAAATTAATTTAATTTATAATTAATATATTACATTTTTTTATAATTTAATTGGGCGCTCTTAGTCCCAACATTGTTAATATTGTCTAGCTCAATCTCAGAAATAGACTAATGAATTTTATTTTTACTCATGTCAGAGCCAGACAAACAACACATGTTAATGACATTCCATTTATTTTTATCAAAACAAATCAAAATACAAATTTGGAATGCAAACAAAATATAAGGAAGAAATAAAATTAATAAAAAATCAGATTTAATAAAATTACATGAATAAATAGTATTTTATCAAGATTTATGGGACATAAAGAAGTCCTCCTTTTTGTATTGAGTATTAATCCAGTGATGGAAAAAATTCCTTCGGGGTACTAGTTGCACAGGTATACAAAATACACAAAAACCTTCCTAGCTAAATTAGCAAGCCTAGAAAGTTCTAATCGCTATTTTCATAAAGTTAGCGCATCCTCTTCTAGTATACTATGTTACCTGAGTAATATATGACATTCTTGCTCTAGATTGCTGATGTTGTTATAATCGTTGCTTGAAAAGGAATATTTACAAGCTATTTTAGCCTATATGAACCGAATATCCCAAACTTGAATCTCACTGATCATTTCTATCATGCTCTAAAAGTTTTAAATGTCTAATTCAAAATTGCAAATATGTTGTAGAATTTGAATTTTAAAACATTTTTAAGATTTTGAAACCTCAGATCAAGTAGTGTTGCTATCGAATTTTTAAAATATAATTTTATTAATAAAAATATTATATAAATTACTTGAAGTTCTGTAAATGGAAACCTATGGTCGAGCATTTTTGTATATTTTCTTTTAGACAAATTATATCTAGCAATCAGATTTATTGATAGGTATATGTGTTTCTATTTCACTCCTAAATAATCCTAAATTTATTGTTGATTCTTTTTGGGTGTAAAGAAATTCTTCCGACTCTCTAGATTTAATAATGTGTAAAGTTCGTCAACTAGATCCCGTTATGAAAAGTTTTAAAGATTATTTTTATATTTAGCACATTATAGTAATCTTAGTAACACTACGGATACTTTCTAGCAGGCGCGTATGCAGCGGGGGGGGGAGCAAGGGGACAACCCCCCCCCCCCCCCCCCCCCCCCCAAAGCTAAAAAAGCAGATGCCTGATTAAAAATATTATTGTTAATATTAATTTATATATTTGTTTAATTATATTTATTTTTCACATTCATCTACTTTATTTTATCAATTAATTTCGATTTCAAGTTTTCCTTGGCGCAATATTTACCTATTATTTTCAAATTTTAGTGGCGTAATATTTATCTAAATTTCTAGTCAAATAATAATTATCCCTGAAACTCCTTGTCCAACTGGGAGAAAAAAATTGCAAGCTTGACCAACGAGATCTAGTTTCTGCCATCAAGCAAACAGCTTTTATGGAGTTAGAAGAGCCTATTATTAATGCTATTACTGAAATATCACAATAGCTTGAAAGAAATATTACCTAAGAAGCAAGAAAATTTTTGGATTCAATACTTATTCCAAATTTTTTTTCTCATTAGAATGTATTATTTAATTATACAACTATTTTATGTAATACTTTTCAAAAACATGACATTGACTTGATTAAGAAGATGAGAATAGCTGAGAGAATTTTATTAGAACTCAAGGAAATAGAGCTAATGTTGATTCATATTTTTTATGTTATTGTTGAGTCAAAAGCAGAGCTATAACTGTTTAATATTTGTCCCCCTCGACGTGCAGCTAGTAAGCTCATCGTCAAAACATTAATATAAGATCAGTAGAAGTGTATTATAAAACAAATGTCCCCTCTCTTAGATACATTTATAACCAAAATAAATGAATGATTTTTAATTCATCATGCAGCACTTACCAATCTGCAGATATTACTTCCACAAAAGCCTTCCCAACCTTTTTCCATGGTGATAGAAAAAAAAATATTTGTTGAATATTTATCATGAAGATGTTAAAGTATCTTATGATGCCTTATTAGCTGAATAACTATGGTTGATACAGCCCCAAAAAATGCTATAGATGCTTTGCATTATTTCAAACACATTTTAGATTATATTCCCAATGTATTAAAATGATTATATATATTAGCAACTCTTCCCATTAGTATACTAATGAGAAAACATTCTCTTTTTTAAGAAGAATAACAGAGCCCTGCAGATGAAACGTACCATTTGCAGGGCACGGCCCGGATTTTTTTTTCAAAATTTTCTTTGGCCCGGCCAGTTTTTTTTAAAAAGAATTTCAGGCCCGGTTTTTTTGAAAATAAAATTTTCAGGCCCGACCCGAATTTTTTAAAAATAAATTATATTTATTTTTGATTTTTAATGGCGATTTAAAATATTTGTTTTTAAAATATAAAACCCGGACCGGGTATATTTTAAAAAAATTAAAAACGGTCCGGACTTATGAAGCACAACTTCTGAAAGTAGATTGAATGGTTTGGATCTTTTGAATATTCATAGGCATTTAATGCCAAGCAAGGATGAGATAATTGAAAAATTAGCTCAAAACATACAAAATACAAATATACCTAAGAACCTATTTGTGTGTTAATTTATATTTCCAACATTTAAATTTTTTATACTTTATGTATAAATTTTAAAGGCTAAAATTTCAATTTTGGGTCATTTAAATGATTCATATGGTGGTTATATTTTATAATTCACATTAATTTAAAATTGTGTATTAGAAAAGTTATTAGTCCTAATAAATTTATGTTTAATATTTTTAAATAACTAATATTTCTTAAAAAAATTTTATTCCCCCCCCCCCCCCAGACCTAATTTCTGCGTACGCGCCTGCTTTCTTGCATAATTAATAGTAGTACCAGAGGGTAGGGTAAGCTTATTTTAAGGTTTTCATATTAACTAGATTTTTCCGTGAAAGCAATTTATATTATTAGCCTCACTAGATATATCAAAATGTTCACAAAGGTATAGATCAGGATCATCAATATCTAAAAATGACCTATCTCGTAAATGGATTGCAGACATTTACGATGCTCAACCTCAATTTCACATTCCAAATTGGATACTCGATATCTAAGCACTGACTTTTCTATTTTCTTTAAATCAGAATATTAATTCTTGCAACTTTATTTATGCTATCAACTAATAAGCCCTAAACATAAATGATGTCATAATTTCCCAATCTGACTCTTCTTTTGATATTTACCCCAGCATTAGTTACCACCTGTCTTATTTTGTTAATGGAATTCCTCTTCTATACCATCGATATCAGATAATATAGTATCACCTCTATGCTTCATCGTCACGTTTCTAGTTGTTAGGGTAGAATATTTCAAATACAAATTTTCATTTAAATGATGAAAACTAAACATGATATAATTTTAAAAATTATACACTCTCCCCACCGTCATAAAAAATTGGCGGCGAATCTGGTCACGCCGTTCATCTTATTAATCGCGCTTAAGGCTACATTTCAAAATTCTTCAAAGATACATGCGTTTAGAAGTAGCTTTTGCAAAAAATGTCACTACTGCCCAACTCTGGTGCTCGCCCATTGTATTAATTTTTTACATACTTAAATTTTTTTAGTGTTTTAAAATATCTTTTTAATTGTTTTGATACAAAAAAATAAGGGTCAAACTCTCCTGCATATAGTGACTAAATTTGCTTCCGGATATTGCGCCACAATCGAAGGAACTGCCAAAAATATTGAAACCACCGAATTGTAAACTTCATTTTTATTTCATAATTTATTCGAATTTTGGGTATCGCTTACTTTTGATTTCCTTCGCCGAAACCCCTAAAAATTTTGATTTTCACGTGAAATGTTATAAATAATTCATGCCTGTGACCTAAATATAAAAAATTATAATTAATAAACTTTCATAACTAAAACGAAAAAATTTAAGTAAAAATAAAATAATGGTCTAAATCATTTTTTCGAATCTACGAAATTTATTAATTTTGTAAAGTTATAGAAATTTATTATAAAGCTTAAAGTTTTGAAATTTAATGGTTTTAAAAAATGAAATTTTTAAATGTGCATCGCGCAGAATTTTTTATCAATTCCACAAAATTTACATATTTTTTTATTTACGAAAAAAATTGGCGAAATCCGAAAAAAATTCATTTTTCGTTGGTTTTAAATAATTTTTAGATGTGGGGGAGCCAGAATATGTTATATATTTCATGAAACGTTTGGAAAAGCTCTTGAGTCCGTAGACCCTTTAGTTGGCCTATCAACGATCGATATTTTGACGGCCATCCGAAATGCTACGGTATTTTATTTATTTTTTTCATTTAAGCCTATATTATTATTTTTTAAAGTGTAAAAGTTTTTACAAAATTGATGTGTTTCCGTTTTGTGTTTGATTTGAAATTATTTATTTTAAATTGTAACTTGCATATTGGTAAACATTTTTTTGCGTTAAAAATAGCAAAAAAGCTTGCACTTTTCACATTTAAAATAAATGCCTTTTCAATTTAAAAAATGAAGCATTTTTTTTATAAAACACAACGCTTAAACGCTTCTGCTCAGTCTATAATATTATTCTTGATTGTTTAGTTTTCGGAGTGAAATCGATGGTGATTTTTTTCCTGCCCAGCATAAATAATTTTGATCTAACTCCAGCATCTTTATTTTATAATGAGGCATTTAAGGTAAGGATTAATATCTAATCGAAATTTACAGGCGCTTGCGGAAGAAAATCAGTTAACATTATCGCGTTTTAATTTTTTAAGTTTCTTACAAATTTGATATATTTTTTAGAAAATCTTCAAGGCTAAAGTGTTAGTTTTAGGTTAAAAACTCGTTTCGACTAAAAATATAGTAAGGATGTGATGAGTGAAATGAAATCCGGTTAAGGTGGGTTAAACAGGTAGAAAACTAGAGGTATATATACTTCCAAAAAGGTAGAAACCCTGGTGATAGGCAGTTGTATTTTTTTTGGGAGAAGGGCGATAAAAAAAGAACTATAATTGTATAAGATTAGAACAAAAAAATGAAGGGAGATCATGAATTCCTATGTTAGAGTGATTTTTTTTACCGTTCTGAATTATATTCTAACTGAATCCAGTAATATATTTTATAATTTAGTGGATGTCCAAGTTTATTTATCTATTTTATGTTATCTTCAAAAAGCCCCCATTTTATATTTTTCTAAAAATGAAGACGATTTATAAGTATTATACTAAATAATCCTGCATATATATATATAAAGGTGCATTTTAATATTTTTTATATTAGGGCCCTCGACCCGCTTTATTCGTACCAGAAGTATCCTTCGAACTTTTAGTCAAGAGACAGATTCGCCGGCTCGAAGAACCTAGCTTGAGATGCGTTGAGCTGGTTCATGAAGAGATGCAAAGAATTATCCAACATTGCGGAACTCACGTAATTTTTTTTATAAAAATGTTAAATACGTTAATCAGAATTGTTTTTTCTATAAACAGAAGATTGGGTTTAAAATTCGAACGGAACACTGTTAGTCCTTTGGCGCCCCTTTTTTGTAATGAGTAAAAAAATCTTTATGTACTCCTTAGATGGAAAATTTTTAGTTTAAATTTTATTTTGCAATTATTTATAAAGGAAACAATGATGCCATTTTGGCATCTATGGGCGCCTAGATATAAAATTTATATTATTGGGATCAAAAATGCTAGCATTATAATAAATATTGTCAGATTCTATGTGTATTCCACTAATAATAGAAGTTATATCATAAAAACTGTATGAATGACCAAAATCGGAACATAAAAATGGCGAAAGGTTAAATTAAAACGTCATGAATCGCAAGCAAAAGCATACGATTTAATTTATTATATAATTATATTTTAATGTCAAATTAAATCATTAAGCTTTCTTAATGGTTATAATATAACTTGCAAGTTTATGATGTAAATTAGTTCACAGGATGTCAAAAGGTTAGGCTGGCCAGAACCAGTCAGTAATCATTTTTAACTATCCAATGTAGAATATATTTTATACAAGTTGTCCATCCGAGCCCGTAAGAATTTTTGTGCAGATAAAGACATAAATTTGCTTAATTATCTATCTTAAACATTTTCAAAACTTTGGACTAGCCCGTAAAAAATATTTTTAACAATTTGTCCAACCCTCCTGAAAATCGTTTATCCCAACATAGTTTTGGGAGGGGACGTGATAATACCCTTTATTTACAACCATAGTCAAAATGCAATTTTATTTATAAATTATTTATATTAAAAATGGAGATGATATATGTTAAAATTTAAAATTAGCTCTGATAATTTAAAAATTAATTACTATTATTTGTTAATATGGTAAATAAGTAACGAAGGCTAAGGCCAACTAGAGTGTCCTAGCGTCTAATCGTTTGGTATTCATTGTATAAAAAAATGTTAAAAAGAATAAATTTGGCTTGCTATATTACAACATTAGGCAATCAAACGATAAATCTGGTATGAGCTTAAACTAACCCATGATCCATAAATTTTATATGTTTTAATTTTAGCAAGAAATGATTAGATTTCCCTCTCTTCATGGTAGAATCGTAACGGTAGTCACCGAATTGTTAAAAGCACGAATACAACCCACAAACTCAATGGTAAAATTTGATTAAATTTTTTTTAGTTAATATTTTTATCCAATTATACAAATCGCAGAATGAATGATTTTATAATGTAAAAATAATAAGTATAACCTTGGGGATTATGAACCCGTAATATATCACTGTGAATTAAATCTAAAACTTCCTATTCCCATAATATTAAAATATGTAATATATTAAAACGTTTTCGCTAAAATCTTCGATTATCTTCTAATTTATTTTTCTTCTACCCTGCTATATAACAATGTTTTATTTGAATCTCTGGGATATATTTTTGAAGCCATACGCGCTATCATTCACACAGCAATCATTTGTTTTTAAAACTTGGTCAGAGTATTGTTTTTTAAAAATTATATTGGGTAGTGAAAGCTTGCATTATCTTTTCTCATTTAATTTTAACGAAGGTATAGTCTGAGATTCAAATCTAAAAAAAAAGAAGTAGTTTCTTTAAAATATTAAACTTGTTATTTATCCTATCAACATACCTAACCTAGTAACCTTTATTAAACTAACTTAAAATATAAATTTATAAATCTATAAATTAATCGTTTTTTAAGGTACAAAATTTAGTGGGCATCGAATTGGCCTACATTAATACCAAACACCCCGACTTCACCGAAGCCATTTTATTCAACTCTATCCTACAACAACAACAACAAATGAATTTACAACCCCAACCCAATGTTGAACCCGCCCCTTACCTGTTACAAGATATTAATAGTGGAAACTTATCCGACCTTAGAACCGTCAACAATTATAGCAACGATCTCGAGGCCTACAATATGAATAGCAATATAATGTCCGGAGATAATAACAATCCTAATCAAAGAAGTAATAGTAGTATATTTTATTACAACGCCACAGAGCAGTCCCTGCTCAGACCCAGTACTGGAGCGAGTAGCATTAACAAGGCTGCAGGCGGCAAACGGCAACTTCAGATGCCTCCTCAAAATCAGGTAATATCATTAATTTATGTGTTAATTGGCTCTTAATTAATTTTTGATCCACTATACGCATATGGAATCATTCTAATCCTATATTTTAATTTTTTTATTAACCCCAAGATAACCATAGACATCTATTAGGCACCTTTAATTTTAGGCTCTTTGCACCGTTATCATAAATAGCTTATGTAATTACTCTGGTACTCTCATTCAATAGAGATGAAATTTAAACAAATCTACAATTTTTTATAAGAATAAATTTGTTAACCCTTGATGCTTTTTTTATAAAAAATCCGTCAAGATTAGTTTAATTTTGAATATTTAGAATAAAGGTCTACAAATGCAAAATATTTAGGCCCGGCCTGGTTGGAATTTAGCTTTTGCCCGGCCAAATTTGTATCCGGCTTTGCCCTTTTACAATTTTTTTACTAAGCTGGCCCATTTTTTTTAAATAAAAAGTTTAAGCCGAAATATATGTAGTTCACTAAAATAAACAACTATTTACAGGGAGTGGTTAAATTTAAAACACTACACTTTCTGAATTATCACTTCTATCTCATCAATAATCCAACCCAATATTTTTACCTGGCTCAAATTATTTTTTTTCAGTTAAGCCGGGCATTGCGAACGACATCTAGTTTAGAAAACTCTAAACCTAATACTTTTTTTCTCTTAAAATTTCTTCAATTCTTCACCATTTCCTTTGTTCTTTTAGATGGTATTCATCAATTATCAATTTATTTTCTAACATTAAACTGGCTTTTTATAAAAATGGGACTTATTCGATAATAAATATTTAGCATGGCTCTTAAGCAATTTATACGAACCTTTCATATATTTATCAAATATCTAGGTTTTTTTACTACTTGAGTACTTGTTATTTATAAGATTTTTGTTTGATATTTTAAATATTTTGTTAGATTATGTTTTACAATACAATAGTTGCTGAAATGTATGATAATTAAGACTAATTTTACCTTATGGCTTAATAAAAAATTTTTTAAAAAAATTATTGTCAAACTTTTACAACTCAGGGTGTGTGTATGTATATAAAAAAATACAAGTTATTTTGAATACATATATATATATGTCGCTAGTTATGCGAGGTAAAATGAGTTATCCAAAATTTTCACTTGGGGATTCGAAGTATTTCAAATTCAAATCGTCTACACAGGGGCAATTTTTAATTTTAAAAAATCTTATTTTACCGAAAATGATTTTAGAGTAACTTACCCTATAAACTTGTCAAAAATTTCACCATCTTGTGTATTTGTTGAGAAATTTTATAAAAAATCCGATATGTATGTCGTATTGGGATTTTAGAAAAACTCAAACTGATCTCGTGAACGGGTTCAAACCCCTAGGTGGAATCGTTATCAATACACCCATGTTTCCACCATTAAAAATTAAAAAATTTCGCTCAATAGATAGATTGTTTTGTAAAAATTATATTAAGATTATAAATTACTTTTCACATATTAATTATTTTCTTATTATATTTAATTTTAAAGTAGCACCAAGCTACCAACCTTTAAAAGTGGCGAATTTATCCTTTATGCGAAAAAAGGTCTCCCTCTGTTAAACACTAATTTATTTGTAATAGTAAATATTATGATAATAATATAGTAAAAATCAGTAACAATTTATTGGAATACGGGGCATATCCAAAAATACAACAAAAAAAGAGGAAACAAATAATTGGCGATAAAGGATTTTTTATCATGAATCGTAATTTAATCGAGCTTAAAATATTACACGAGATATCGTTCACACTTAAATTTAATAAATAAAAATACCTTAAAAGGAATTGAAAGTCTTATAAGAATGAAAGATGTATAAAAAATATTTCAACGGGAAGTGGTCAACAATATGAAATCAATCAATCGCACGAGGTATGAATGATTGCGACAAGATTCGCAAATTTATAAATGATTATATTAGTATTGAAATGGTGTCCTGGTTCGGCTTCTTTTGATGCCAAACAGCTTTTAAACTAGGACACCTATTTTGGTTTGTTTTAAGTGCTTGATCGCATTTTTTCTTTTATTTTTTAGACTGTTTCGCCGAAGCTATATAGTTGGAGACTAAACAGCCGGCTCTTTAGTAATAAGTCGAGAACCAGTACACACCCTAGTAGATTTTATTTCACTAATTAATAGCCCATTCCGATAACCTATTTTATTCTATCTTAAATTACTATATAAAATCTTTTTTTTAAATTGATTGACATTAGGTATTTGACAAATCACCCAGTATTTTGGTCGATCATTTTTAAAATTGAAGTTGGGTATGAAGGTTAAATAGATTATATATTTTAATCGAAAAATTAAAGCTTCGACTCATATAGAACCGGAGTTATGTTATCTTCAAAGTCTAGTATGAGCGCCATCTTAATTTTAAAATCTCAAATTACTAGTTAAATATTATATCATTTTATATCCCTTAAAATTCTCCTTAATTAATTTATTTTATAAATATTTTCAGTTTTGATGTATTTACGCGAAATAAAGAAAAATTATAGTGAGAAGAGCCTAATTTGATGCGATGAAACTCGTCAAATATATTACTGGCGTTTATTTTTTCAACTTTAAGTCGTTTTTTTGAACGCCTTTTTTAAAATAATCTGATATTACCGGAAATTTCAGAATATTTGGAATACCTATCTTTTGAATTATAGACAATTGCCTTTAACCTTTGAGTCATTTATGATTTATATAAAAAATCTATGGAAAAACTAATATAGATTATATTATATCAAAATTGTCTTAAATTCATAGGGTACCTATTCCCAATATGATGGAATGCATTTCCGGTAAAATCAGATTTTAAGCTTAAAAATCGGGCTCAAAAATGGATTTAAATTTGAAAAATAACATTTTGCCGGAAAAAAACATTGCCGCTAACAACTATAAATACTTTAAGTAAAAATATTAATTGAGAAAATAAGAATTCAAAATTTTAGTTCTTTATCATTTTGAGAATAAAAATTTTTTTAAATAAAAATATGCGCATTTTATATTTATAACTGATTGACCATTAATATTTATATAATATTATTAGAATTTTTTTAAAAAAATACATTTTTTGCACCCCAATAAAAAGAAAATAATATTAGAATTATTATTTACTAGAGCACCCTCTAAAAAACTAAATGGGGTTCATTTGGTTTAGTAAGATTTACTCTTTTTTGGCGTTTCTAAACAATGATTTGTGTTGGGTTGAAGCTGCTTTAAATGGAAATATTTAGGCGAGCTCAAAATTAAATTAAGCTTTTGCTTCTCCCTAATGACACTGTCCTTCTGATTTGCTTCAAGGGTGTGACTGCTAGTTGGGTTTCGAGAATCTCTTTTTTAAAACGATTTTTTTTGTTATCTTAATTTTATGTTTGGATCTGAGGCCCAGGCTCTTACATATTCCGAGTACATTGTTAACAAGTATCTGTGGCCATTTGTGTATATGGGGTTGACCCGAAAGAAATTCAGGCGAAATCAAAAAAATTCTGCGCCATTCACATTCAATAGGAATGGGAGGAATAACGATGACGATGATTTTGAAGATATCAGTAAATGGGAATCGTTTCGCAGATCGAACTCATACAAATATGAGAGGGCAATGCAAAAGGTGTGTAAAAATAAATATAAAAGAAATTAGTACATTATATACACATATACATATGATATATGATGCTTTCTTTTTATATATGTAATTCATTTTCTTAAAAAAATTAGATAAAGATAAATATTTATTACAACCTATGCATTCCATGTCAAATTAGACATCTCACAACTCACCTCTTTCAATTATTTTAATAAAAATTTGTTGTTTGTTTTGGTTAGATTAAAATGAAATTTTTTGCTCATTCACAAACACACGATGACATTTACTCTATTTATGGTATTGTTTAATTTACGAAAATCGTTTTTTGCCCAATTTCGCGGTTAAATAATTGGTTAATAATTAAAAACTTAATCAATCTGAATGTTAAATTTTTATATACATAATTAAGTCATAATTAGGGGGAAAAACAAAAATTTTTTTTTATTGTACACTCATAATATGACCGGTTGAAAGTAGAAAATTAAATTTTCAAAATGATTAGAAGCGCAATTTCTTTTTTCCTACTGCGCGTACTATTTTTCTAATAGTTTCTTAAATAATAAGCGTGGCTACTTTATTTTCTCAAAATATATCGTGAATAATGTAAGAAAGACGTACTGATAGCGTTATATATGAACGTTTCAATGTCAACAAAAAGAGGGCTTTGATTTATAGCTATTTTGAGGCAGTATAATTGATTTAAAAATAATATGTTGCTTAAAAAGAGGGGCTTTATTTAAAGCCATTTTGAGGCAGTATAATTGATTTAAAAATAGTTTATATGTTTAAAAAGAAAATTATATTTTTTTTATTAGTAATACAAAATCGCTCCATTAGAGCCGATTTTTAGAAAACGGCTAACTCAATACTTTAGCTAGAATAATCCATAGCCCATATCTATCTCGCTAATAGATGTCTAAACCTTTGTGCCATCTATTTTTCTGGGTAAATAACTGAGTTCACTGTTATTAAAAATCGGCTCAAACAGAGCTATATCGTATCACTAGTGTTATATCGTTTATAATGTCATGTGAACAATATTTGCAATATTTTTCTAGAAAATCAAGCAGCAGCGTTAATAAAAAAATTTAGTAAATAAATAGTAAATGTAAAAGAGCATTAGGAAAACAAATTTGAGTGCCTAGTTATTTTGAACTTTTAACTGGACATGTGATGCGCATGTGTAGCAAAATTATTTTTGTTGTTTTTATCCTCTAGCAATTATTGACTTAGTTATAAATATAAAATTTAATATTCGAATTTATTTATTTTAAAAAAAGGATCGATTTTGTATCGTAAATCCCAATTATTTTAAGTGATATAATTTGTTAGCTAGATAAAAAATTTATTTTTGAATCTAACTAAGAATAAATGAGACGTACTTTAAAGTTTTCTTTTGTCAAAATTGAAAAGGAATCATACGTAAATCTCCTATTAACATCCCATACTATTCCACATCTACGGAGGTTTAAATTTTAATATTCATTTACATACGGTGAGTATTTTTTTTCAATATTTAGCCAGGTCCGAATTTTTTAAAATAAATTTATTTTGGATTAAATATTTTTGTAAATTGTCAGGGAAGATGGAAAATGAGGAATAATGAAAATAAAACAATATTAGAACGATTTTTTTAAGAGTAATTTGGTATAATTTAAATTTTTCTTACAAAATCGTCCCCAGCTGGGTTTTGTAAGAAATAAATATATTTTTTATGCCCGACTCGGTCCTGGTTTTTAATTTTTCTATTTTTAAGCCCTCTCTTAGGAATTAAATATTTTTCAAGCCTAAGATCATATTTTTTTGTAATTAACATAAAACTGGTTGTATTTTATCTTTTTGAAAATTAAATTTAATAATTGTTCATTTTTGTTTTTATGCAATTTTTTTTTATGATTCATAATTTAGGGTCCATCATTATTTATTGTACTTTATTTGTATTCTCATTTTCGCGCTAAAATAACACGACTAAATTTAAACTCAAGAGAAATTTTTTTCATTGACTAATTTTCTATTTTAATTTCAATTATTAACCTCGCTTTGACCATTCTCAAAATATTAATATACTAATTTTTCAGAAATATAATTAATAATATAACATCATTACCACAAAAACTTTTTTTGCGAAAGTGATTATCGCGAATGTGTTTGCGCTTAATCATTACCGCGAATACATTTGCGAGTCAGCAAAAACATTACTACGAATACATCCTAGTTATTACTGCTTAAACATTACCGCAAATACACATCGCATAATATATTAAAAACAAATGTATTACCGAAAAGGTATTATCGCCAATGCAATTCAAGCTAAAACCCATGTGGACTAGACTTAGAATAATGTTAATTAATGCATTAAAATGTTCTTCTTAATTTCACCGAAACTAGATATGGGATGAGAAATTAGATATTACCTTAGATTAGTATTAATTAAATGTTTTGCTTAATTTTATCTCACCTAAGCGTCGCCTAAGGCCTGGTGATTATTATTACCCATCGTATACATTAATCAGATGCTTATAGCAGGCTCGTCATTAGAATTAAATATATACTTATTGCATAATGTTTTTGCGGTGTTGACACGTAACCCGTTTAACACGTGTATCAACCTAATACACAAACCGACCATTAGAGGGATTGATGTTCAAAAATTATTGTTTTCTCTTTCATCGAGCCTCGGAAATACCTCAGCTTATTATTTTAAAGTAAGTCGGACCTTATTTTATCTTTTATTGAGAAAATGACACTGCACAGCATTGTAAGCTTTGGAAATGACTGCGATAATTCGAAGTCGTTTCTCAAGACTATCCCGGTTTCATTCAATTTTCGAACCATTATTAAATTTGAATTTTTTCTTTGATTGTTTATCTAATATTTATATATACTTTTTTTTGAGTAAAATATAAAATTTATCTTTGTTAAATGAAAATGACTATATTAAAAGGAAATATAGTATTTATTATTCAAAAACTATTTTAAAAAAAAAATTAATGATTAATTTTAAAAAAAATAGTATTTATTTTAAGTCTTCACATCATATGGCTATGCACTAAAAAAAATAAACTAAATACAGATGGAATTTTAAATTTTATTAATAATTTAGCAAAAAATATAATGCACCAAAGGAGCATTTTAACCATGCATTCACAGCTATCGCGAATTCGCGGCGAAGTATACGAAAACACAGCATATTTTGTATACTTCCTTGCGAATTTGCGTTAACTGTGAATGCAGGGTCAGGGATCTTATGCTCCTTTTTAAAAAAAAATTATAACTTTTCGACTAAAATTTTATTTAAAAAAAATAACTAATTCGTTATCGAATAATTAGAAATCGTTCGAGCATCCTAAAAAACAACAAAACGTAAATTTAATATCAACAACTAATAACGACAAAATGAATCCGAATAATCTCGAATCTATCCCCACCGGCCAGGAGGTGAAAGCAAACAATGCCGGCTGGAGATTGTCGAGTTGGATGAAGAAAGATGTTTCGACATCGCTTCAATCCGAGCCAACTACCCTGGAAAGCGGGACTATTCATAAATCACAAGAACCGACTCGCCCTAACACTATGGATTACTTTAGCACACTAGCCGAGGTCTCAATTAAACAAAAAAACTTTAATTTAAGTTTAGACGGTCGAACTTTTAACAATCCATCGATGTGTTATTTACTTTATATAAATCAATAAATAACAAAGCTCCTCACTTAATATCGTATTACTTATAACTTCTAGACTCATTAACTTGTAGCATTTTAAAAAATTATTTTATTTAAAATATTTTTTTTTCTCCTATAAAAATATAATACTTTATAGTTAGAAGTTCTGACGGATTTATCCGGATCAGATTAGCACAGAATCTAATTTGAACCAGACCCGGAAATTAATTTGACATTTATAGAATCTTTAAAAAATATTTGCGACACTTGGAATTGTAAAAGTTTGACTTAACATTTTATCTGAAATATATAAATATATAGACATTATTATTAATAAAATATGAATGTTAATGTTTTATTTAATTTCACCTCTTTTTTTACAAGACTTAATTTTCGGCATATTGTTTTGTATTTACAATTTTTTTTCAAAATTCTTCTTATAAAAGAAATCATTATTTAGTACAATTTAAGTATTTTTTAAAAATAAAAATTTTAACAAGAAATGTAAATTAAATTTATCTTTAGAATATTAGGCTTTAAAAACCTTTTCCTTCCGCCCCCCCTCCCATATTGTATATATCGCGATATAAATTAATAAATTTTGTTGACTCTGGTATATAGCTAAATTATGGTGGGAGAGAATATACTGTGGGATTTAAAAAAGTTGGTTTGGGAACCATCAAATGAGTAGTATCCCAGGAATAATAAACCGACGGTTCCCAACATATAGAATTTCGGTAATCATAGTCGGATGGCCTTGTTATCACAATTCTGTGCTCGCCACTCTCGCTTTCCACCCACGAATCATCTATCGCGGGATCTCGTTCTATTATACCATTCCAAGTCGGTAAAACGGTTTTAGGCGAAACGTAGTCGAGTTGTCTTTTACCTGAGTGTCTTTTTCGTTGAACACGATGCAAAGGTTGAATTTGATTAGTGGCATCGTCCACGGTTGTTAATTGTTCTAACCAATCATCATTCATTTTATTTTCTTCTCCGAATGAATCGTTTTCATTGATTTCTTCTATCATAGTATTATGGTCTGGGATTTTTTCTTGTTTCACCTGTTTTTTTGGCCACAGAAAACACGAACACGTTTTGCAACACCCGCAAATACTATTGAATATATTATTTCCCTTCTTAGGATTCGATTTTTCGGTTATCTCTGCGTAGTTCGGCAAATCATAGGTGTTGCAAGATAAACGTTCGGGACTCCAAGAATTACTATCTTCTCCTGATTTGTTGTTGTTATTATTATTCTTATTTTTATCTTTGTAAGTTTTGCTCTTCCTTACTTTACTCCTCTTTCTTTTGTCTTCTTGTTTAACATCCAAATTATTAACTTTGCCTAAATTCGCTTTAGTTTCGTTGTTTAATGCCTCCTCTTGTCCTAGTTCTGTCAAAAAAAAAGGCGGATGAATGGCCGAATTAATTGATGAACTGTTACTTCTTATAAAACTTTCGTCGATTCTTTCCTTATTCGCGCCAATGTTCTCGTTATTTAGGATCGAATTTTCTGGAACATCCTTAAATCTGAGCTCACATTCAGGCTGATTATTGATTTTTTTAATTCGATGATGGTGATGCCTCGAATGAACGCGAATCGAATTTTCGTCTTTATCTAAACAAGCTTGATCAATGTTTGTTTTATCATTTAACATGGTGTCAGCTGGCAAAGTTCGCGTTTTTAGATTTTTAATCGTCTCTACGATTCTTGACATATTCACATCGGAATCGATAAGTTTGGCCTTATCTATATTCCTGGGTTTCGTATTAGTTTTCGTAAGTACGGGTTGTGATTCTGGCCAGAGTTCTGGAGTTAGTGGTTCAAAATAACTGTTGCTTCTTTTCCAAACATAACCCGTTAACTCGGGAGTACCTTTTACCTTCTCCAAATGTTTGTTTTTAACGCTCAAATTGCTTCCGACACTTTTACTGGACGCCTCTAACTCGTCCCACGCTCTAAATGCGTTTTTATTGGCCTTGCTTAGCTCAATCGCATTTCCAGTCTCGTTAACTTTGTATCTCTCCATATCGGCCGAACTTATTTCGTTAAAAAGCTTGTAGTCGGCGGCGTACATGTTCACGTTAATATTAGCATCCGGTTTGTCGGTTTCATAATTTTGTTGTTTCATGGCCAAATCGTAAGCAAGCGATCTTTCCTCCAATTCCTCGTTGGATATAGGGGGCCTTTGACTCCCTATATTCTCGTAATCCCAATACCAGGTTTCAGCTGGGGCGGTGACGGAGACATTTGGGTTGACTTGAGGTTTTCCCGAATGGGCCCTTCTTATTTTATCAATTTTTTCTTTGATACGTCGGAATAGGTTAAATGGGCCTCTTTTCTTAATCTTACTCGGCACGTTCCTTCGACTGCGCTTAGGAGCCCCAGTTTGTTCCCTGGTCATCGCCCTTTTCATCTTAGCCCTGATTTTTCTATTTCTCGGCGTTTCGCTTATATAATAAACTCGTCTTTTCCTGTACACTTTGCGGACGTAGAAGAAAAAAAGGAAATATGTGGTTTAAAATTAAAAAGTATAATATCTTAAATCTATTAAAATGGCGGTTACTATTTTTTAGAAATGAAAATGAACTTTGATCTACGTCTAGGGTTCGGGTTATACAAACAACTAGTTACATAATAACAATAACAAAATTCTAAATACTTATCCCATAGTCCCGCAGGCAATTCACTATTTTGCTAAATAAATCTATTCGCGTTTGATTTGAACTAGAAGGATTTGGTTGTTGTTTTGGACGAGACCATATGCAACCCATAAACGGGTCGCCCCTAACTAGAACGTTGTGCTCTGGTCTTGATTCCTCTGTTTCAAGGTTCGATTTAAATTTTTTCCAGCGATCTTTTAGTTCTATCACAATAACCAGTAATTTGAATTGTATAGTTTGTTCCAGTTGAATATGTTTCGACGGAAAGAAATTTCGCCCTAATGATAGCTATTATAAGTTTAGCGGAATATATTTTGTACACATCCGATTTAAATTGAATTTTTTTTCTTTCGTGTTACTTACATCGTGAATGCATTAAAAATAATGACTAATTTTACCTATTTTAAAAATATTTTTTTATACTTTAAAAAAAACTAAATTGAAAAGAGCAAGGGGAAAAAAAAATCATTTTTATTAAACGGAAAGAAAATCTAAATGTATGCCATATAAGTTTGTATATTTTTTTATTAATAATTTTTAACAATCAGTTTAAAGCAATAATCAAATTTATTAGTTTTTTTTAAAATTAAATTGTGTAATAAATTAACCTTATTTTTTATTTTCTTTCATAATCTTAAAATACAATCAACCCCTAATCAATTAACTAGAATATATAATTCTTTTTTATTTTGTTTGCTTTTCTTTCTTTCTTCCTTTTTTTATTGCAATATAATCATAAAAACGATGTCTATTAAAGCTAATGAATCTAAAAGTTTAAAAACTGATCTGGTTTTATTTTTTAAAATCGCAAATACCCCAATTATATGTCAAAGATTATTCAATTAATTTTATTTTTCCATAGATAACTTTCTTATCGAATTAACGAATTCATCATTTCCACCTATGCTTTTGCATGTTTTATCTAATATTGTTTATTATATTATCACTTTTTTTAGCGATAATAAATTAGGTTTTTATTTTTTTTTAAATGTCAGAATTATTGATCTACTAAACTAAACAAAACAAAAATGTTTTTGTTAGGCATTGCATTTGTAGAGTAAGCGCATCTAAAGGGTGATATCGTTCTGAATATCGATGTTTTTGTTTAATTTTTGGTATCTCGTCGTCTTGGGAAAGTGATGTCGCGTTATTTTTTCTATTTACTTATAACTACAGGCTTATTTTTTCTTATGATCGAATTGGGGTATTTATTATTATTTGTCGCTAATATTGGATTAGGATGGATAATTTGAATTATGAGAATTAACTGATTATTGATATAATAATCTTGTTGATGTCATGAATATGATCGGGCTTTCCGCTATTAAAACATTTTTTTATACTTGCATGGTAGATATATATTGGGTCTTGAATTTATATTATTGGGCTTCCCTGGAATAACGAATAGGCATTAAATAACCTGAATTTTATTTTTATATGGGTATAAGTGATATATGGCCTATTTCCTGACAAGCACTGCGACGTATAATACCCTTGTATAGTCTTGGTGGGTGTTTATTAAAATGAATTAGGAATTCGAATTATGATAAATTATAGGCACAACCAAAAAAAAATTTTGTTCGCGTTCAATCTAAGAACCAGAACCTCTCTAGTTTTTATAGGGGCCATAGAACCGAAAATTAAAAAATATTTGAAACCGGAACAAAATATATTTTATACTCCCTTAGCTTTCACTTAATAATATCACTTATGCCTCTTTATAGAAAAACATAATACATGGGATGTTTCATAATAAAAGTTTCATATTTATTAATATATAATATAAAGAATTCTCAAATTTTGGGTAGAAAATTGTCTCCCAGAGAACAGCGTGATTGCGAGATTATTGGTATGTTAAAATATTATTATCGAATCTATAATGTTATTATATTTTACATATGCCCTATTTTCTTTTAATAAAAAGAATTACTTTTGCTTCTCGTTAGGCACTAGTCGACCTTTATATAATAGTCCTAGAAGTCTGCATATGGCAAAATTTGTAGGCCCGACCCGTGCAAATCTAAAACCTGTCTGGTTTCATTTTTTTTACTAAGGTTGCTTATCCCGGTTTTTTAAAGCAATAATGATGAGGAATTTAGGTTTCATGATTTTCTTATTATTATAGCAATAAACATAAAATGTTGATTAAAGTATAAGTAATCGTAACTATGAATGAATGATCATAGTAGCATCATTAAAATTATTAGAAAAAAATATACTATTGTAACAAATATTTGTTCTTCTATTATCTATTAAGAGCGCCGGCGGGCATTTATACCTTATTCCCTCCCGGCCCTTTATTTTTTGCCCCACCCAAATAAATATTTTTCGGACTTGGGCCAGGCATTGCAAATTCTTAAACAGTCCTACCATGCATTCACAGTTGGCGCGAAATCGTGCGGAGTATTAAAAAATATGATTCTCCGCGAATTCGTGCTAACTATGAATGCAGGCTAAGTTCCGTTTTTTAACCCTAGGACTGTTTACATTAAAGTCGAATAGAGCTAAGGAAAAGTTATAAATATAATACGATTAATATAATAATATATTAATATTATTTTTTTGTGATACAGAACGTTTGATAAAAGTTTATTTCTTGATTGTCAGGAAAAATATTCAAGATACCGTACCCAAAGCAATAATGCATTTTCTCGTAAATTTCGTTAAAGACAATCTACAGGTATGGTATTATTCAACAAAGTCTTTATTAATATAGCTTTTTTTTAAACCTCATATTCAAACTTAGATTTTATCATTTCAAATCTCCCAAAATAATAATTATCCATTATAAAAAAGATTTTTTAAATGACATATTTAAGCCATGAATTTATAACAAAAAAAATTGATCTAAGAAATTTCTTCAGATTTGAAAGAAGAAAGAAAGCGCTTAAAAGTAAAATATTTGGCTCCAAATGCGAATGCCATTACCCAGGTGTGAGTAAATAATCCCATGCTAAAAATATATTTTAAGCCCCATAATATACTATTTTTTTTTCATTTTGAAACCAACCCTACCCCGTTATTTGTATTTTTTCTAGAAATTAAGCCTATGAGATAAATAATGCACATCTCACAAACCTGCAGGCACGACTCTAAGCCCGGCCCAGGTGCAAGGGTTCGTATTTAATTTTTAATAAAAAAAATAACAAGGCCGGACCTTATATTTTAAATGGCTATTACATCTTGAAAATTTTTTAAAAAAAATAATCAGGGCCGGGCCTGAAAATATAAAAACTTAGCCGGCAAATGGTACTTCTGCATGTTTCTGGTATATCTTATAACAAATTTGAAAAATCATAAATAAAATCAGGCCTTCGCCTTGATCTTATATATATTAACATCACTAACTTACATCAGACATGGGCCTATATGTAGATTCCTTTTTATTTTAACCAATTTTAACATTTTAGTATGGAACTATTTACCGGCACGATTTTCAAAAATATTAATTAAACACCAGACCCGATATCTAATAATAAAAGAAGCGTCATTAATTCTTTTACAATTTTTTTTAATATAACTTTTTAATATTGTTGTTAAACAGCCCGATTCGTGTCGATTTATAAAAATGGCGTCAAGATTTTATCCACAATAATAGTATGTAAGTAGTGATAAACGGCTAAACCAATATTTTAGCCAAAAATATTTAGCAAGCCTGTAGTTTTGCTCATAGCCATTTTTGAGGTTTTTAACATCACAGTGTGTAATCCTAGAGATTTGGCAAATAGAAGTTCAAACCTTTCCGCCACTTATGATCGAAATCTCCAGTCTTGCATATTATTTTGGCTAAAATCGTGATGGGCATTTTTTATCGGGTCCGTTTAAGCCTTTCATGCACAGAAATTTAAAAACAAAAGGTCCTATTTTTCACAGGTATAATTTTTATTGAAAATATAGTAAAAATCTCATATATTCGTTATAATTGTATTTTTAAAATTATAAATATTTCATAAGATTTTACAAAAATTAAAGTGGGACATCGTATTTATGATTTATTATTCATGATACGGTTTAAAAAAATTTCATCTTTAAGAGAGAAAATGCCACAAATCTAAAACATCGATAACTGTTGAACAATATGAATATCTTCTCATTTGCTCGGATCTTATAGGTAAATATGAGGCGGCACATCTCCTACTTCCCCAAAAGCACTTTTGGGCTCTGCTCCTAAGCTGGCTACATAAACTATCATTTCTGCCAGCATACAAGTCCTTAAAGTTTTTCATAGCCATACAAGGTCAGACTTTATAAGGTTTATCGAAATCAAATGATTCGTTTTGAGGGCAAAAATATTATTATCGTTTGTATGGATATGGATAAGCAGCCATTCAAACCTATTTACAGGTAATAGTTTGGCTATATATTGATCGTGGAAATCGGGGCTAAAATATTCCATGTAAGCTGGTATTTTTCATCCCCATTAACATGTTTATCGCTAAAAAATTATTCCAATTTCAAAATATTGGCAGATTTAAATCTATAAAATAATAACAATAAATATAAGTACTAAGGAAAAAATATTTATTTTAACGTTTCATACTTTGGACAGCATATAAATTAATTTGAAATGTCAAAAATTTCGGAAGAAAATCAGATACAAATAATTGAATTATATTTTTATGGAGTTTCAGCATCTCCTACATTTTTTGGTCCATAAGTTTATTAAAGTCGATAGATGGTGTAGGAATTAATTGATGATCATTTTTTATGTGGGAATATATAATAAATCTACGAGGCATATTTTCTTCTGAAGCAGAGGATTCATCAATATAATTCCTTTCATCATTTGACGGCAGGCATTCTGCATAGTGGGATTCATAGAAACCCATTAAATAATATAATTATTAAAATTGAATGCATATATATAAAAAAATGATATATATATAAAATATTACCTTACCAAATTGAATACTTTTACATATATGAATTTATAAAATATCCGTTAGAAAAATCTGGAAAAAAATACGAATAAAAATCTCAATATGGTTTAACGATAATTTTTTTAAAAAATGTTAAATAAACATCATTTATTTATTTTATATAAACCAAATGTTTTAAGCTTATGTAATAATGAAATAAAACCATTTTAAAGGGTTATATTTTGGCCTAGCAAGAATGAAAGGGTTAGCAACACTACTTTTTGATATTTTATAGCGGAACCAACATCTATGCTACGAAGAATAAATGTACGAAAAAATAAATTTACGATTAACAAGCTTTTTCATTAAAAATGAAAAGGCATATTTTTACGGGCATTAAATTTAAAAATCTGAAAAAAATCTTATAATATTTTTATTTTCCAAATAAACTCAAGTTTTTGTTTGGATTGTATTTCATTTTTAATAAATCGGTTCAGAATACCGTATTGTTAACGGATACCATATGGTAGTGGATACCGTATTGGCTATAGTGTCACTAAGGAGTGTAGAGGTTCGAGCCCTCTGTAAATTTGGGAATTTTTTTATGCCTAAAAATTAGGTCATTTTGAAAATGTTAGCTAAAAAAAGGTAATTTTGAAAATAATTATAAATTTTTTTTTATGCCTCTGAGATTGTAAAGGCCAGTGACTTCATGCGTATTGATAAGCATAAAAAGATCATTCGGTGCATCTATGAAATTAATATTTTTAATACGATTTTTTGATCAATAAAATACTTAAATATAAGCGAAAAATAAAAGACTTAGATTTAGTCCAAATTGCAACTAGTTATCATTATTTATTAGATAAAAATTTTTTTTATTCGATTTCATTTTCTATTTCAATTTTTTGACAATTTATAAAAATCATTACTAATTCTTGTATAGAGCCAACTAGTTAGCAAATTGTATAAAAATTGCGAGTATGAAATTCTCTTAGAAGAATCGGATCACATTGCTCAACGAAGAAAAGAAGCTGCCGATATGCTTGAGGTATGATATAAAATTAATTTATTGCTAAGACCTTACTTTTTTCCCCCATAAAAATCGGGTAAACGACCTCTTTTATTATTATTCAATGGTTTCTAATAGGTAGGAATATGCCATGCTATGACGAAAACAAACCCTTCGATAGTCCAGTATTTATTTCTAAACAACCCCATTTCATATTTTGAGGTTTACCACTGTCACACAAATTTTCAATTATTTTGAATATTATTTAAAATCGATATAGCTAAGGATATTAAAGTTTTTGAATAAAAATTATGATTTTTGAAAGATTTTTTATGCATCAAAATTACTAAAGATATACTTAAAAAATTTTGGCAAAATTTGATCAAAAAAATATTTTCATTTGAGATTTTATTTTCATACTATAGGTTTACCTAAAAAATATTTTTTAGTCTTTCAGTTTATGTATGTTGAAGATTTAATTCTGAGTTTAAATCTTAATAAGAATTTTTTTTTACTAAATTTGAATAAATAAGCAATATCCTTATATCATCCTCTCCTTGATCTAGATCGGATCAAAAACCAACCTGAAATGAGGTTCCGATTACGAGCTAAGACCGATAATCTGATCATTAACCTTTCCTAAACTGAACAGACTTTCGTAGAGCTAAAAACACATTGTTTTCCCCAATTTTATCTCAAAATTCCTAATTTCTAATTTAATCTTGTGTTACAACATTTGTCAGCGTAGAAAAGGTCCCCAATTATAATGTAAAAATAATACACATTAGAAGCATATTATAATCTCTATTTGTTTTTATTATGAATATAAGACGCTATTTAGCCGTAAGCACCTTATTCAGATTTCCCATTACTCCGAAGACTCCTCCATTTTTCTCAAAAAATATGGAATACCAATTCCTCTAGTTTTGTTTAATCAACCTAAAAATCGGCTAAATCTAAACGTTTAATAACATTAGACTAGTTGACTAATAGATTCATGTATTTTGAAAAAAGTTATGAATAACTGTGAGATTGAAGTTTCTAAGATTGATTTATAGACACGCGATTTTTGCTAATATGCACCCGCATTGGTTTGAAGATTATTATAAAATAAATAATCTTATTCCTACCAATCGATACTCATTTTTAAAATATATTTCAATTAAGATAAATGTTTATTGATCATAAATCTACATGAAAAATATTTTTTTATTTTTTACCCACTATTATTTGAAGTACTAATCATGGAGACGCGCTCAATCATTAAGATAATCTAGCAATACTCTGATAAATTTAGAAGGATCTTACCATAAATTACAATTCGATGTTGAATTATATTTTTTTATGTTTTTTTTAAAATGTTTTTTTCTTAATTTCTAGTCGCTCTTTCAGTTCTTTATCTAATATATATATGTAAAATATTTAGCGACCTTACCTATTAGTAGACCTGTGCGCCATGTCGTTTATTAAAATGCGCAAAATTTTTTGAAAATAATTTCCATATTTTATGCATTTTTATTCTAATAATTGGTCAACAAAACAGTTGTGAATTTTTGAGGTCAATCAAGATTAGGATTAATTTTTATTTTATACCTATTTTAACATATAATTATTTTGACATCCTTTAAAAATTCAATCAATCAAAAGTCTATTAAATATCACAACCAGATGGTATAGTATATTAATATGCTTGAAAGCATATCTGGAGCAAATAGAAATTTAAATAACTTTTTGATTGGGAAACACTATCTAAAATTTTGAATCAAATCTAGTAAAACAACTATTAGCTTTGCCTTCAAAATTCAAAAAAACGGGTGAATTTCTATATGCACAAAAAACTTTGAATCACTTTTTAGACATGAAATTAAAACAAATTTAATAGTAAAAGGAAAATATGCTTAAAAAACTTGAGTTGCGATTTCCGGTTTGTAATGTGCGAGAAGAGTATATAAATATCTTGATTTATTGATTTAATTTTTTATTTCAAAAACAATCTATATATTGGCTTCTCTTCTAAACCCAAGATAATTGAAATTTCTGTCAATATATAACAGAACAAAATTACACAGCGTCGGAATTTATTATAAATTATACATTTAGAGTATGGTGATATTAGGACCTAAATATAGCGATTGAGAATCAAGAGGAAATATTAAAATAAAATTATTTTACAAAATTATCAACTAATCAATCAACAATTACAAATTGTGATTCCACTTTAAGTGATAAACAAGAATGCCATATTCTTCTCAAAAAACGTCATTCACAAAATATTGATGTTCTAAATTTTCTAAGAAAAAGTTGATCAACCTAATCTGCTAGCTAAAAAGTTTTTTGTTTTCCTGCAACTAGAACACTTAGTGAAATAGTTTTCTCTACAGCTGGGTTGACTATGAATTCAAAAGGATAATCATTATGTCCGGAAAATAAATAAAATTAATTATTTTATACATAATAATTATAAAATTACAAAATTGATTTTGTGAGTTTTCTCTTCAATAAAGATTTAATATGCCGAGATATCTGTAGTGTTACTTTAATTTAATTTTTCTTAAAAAATTTATATGATACAAAAAATTATAAGGCGGCTAAAAATCGGCGCGCCGCTGGCCGTCGATGGTTTCATCGGTGTACAGGCCTATCTATTAGTAACTGCACTTATGAACGGTTTTTTGCACTTTAAAAATCGATTAAATACCACAGGCCAAAATCGATCTAAATGGTTTATACCTTTTAAATAATAGGAGAGAAATCACTTTGGTTGAAAATTTATTACTAAATGAATTGGCATAACCTCAAAAGAAGAAGGACTTCTCTGCAGCTTTCATTTATTTTTTTTACCTTCTGCAATATTAAAATTACTTATTACGTTAAATATAATGTCGCTAAATAATTTTTCAAGAAATTTCAGTTGTACATATTATTTTTTATAAAAATGCGATACATTATGTTTTAATAATGAAGAAAGAATTTCGGATCAAAAAAATAATAATTTTTTTATTAAATATATTAGATTTTTACAATATTACTTATTTTTAGTTCTTCTATATTTTTTATTCTGCCAATGGTTTTACTTATTTCGCTAACTATATCTACCAAACGAAAACAGTTATTAAGCACCATAATATATATTATATTTTGATAGAAGTTACAATGAAGACCAAACATTTTAAAATTCGCCCCCCCCCCCACAATTACAATAATCAGAAAAATAAGTTAATAATTAATTAAAATTAGTTTAACAGACCCCAAGGCCTGCAATAAGTACACCTAAAGTCCTCCAATCAAATTTATGGAGAAATTCTCCACCTAACATCGTTCCCCCTCTTAGAAAAATTCCGACTTACCCTGCGTTCACAGCGTTGGCGGCGAAGTATACAAAATATGATATAAATATAATATTTTTACCTTCATTTTTGTATAACTCGTCGTTAATTCGCCCTAACTGTGAACAGGGTTACGCTTTTGGAATTAGTGCTTTAAATCGTTGACCAATAAAATAAAAACAAAAATCCCTAGAACTTATCTTATCTAGAAAACGGTTGAAGCCTGGCCAATAAAATCTAAAGGGGGAGGTGAAATCTACCCTTTCATTTTTATCCTCTTGGTTAAGCCACTGTTTATTAAGTTTACTATTATTTCATTTTACATATCAAAGTTATTAAAAAAATTACACTATTAGGCATTGCAAAGGGCCAATCAAATTATCAGTGAAATTCGCGAAACTCAAATGTGATATATAAAAGAAAAATACCATGATCACAAATAAATTAATTTCGCGATTGTATTTTATTTATTAGACGAAAATTGTCACAAAAATGTTTAGTTAATGTTATGCTTTTAATAACTTGTTATAATATTTAAAATCTTTAAAAGGCATTATGCAAGATTAGAAATAATTATTGTAATATATTATTTATAACCCATTAAGCATGATTATTACTTATTAGTGAATATTGAATAATGAATTATTTTTATATTGAAAAATTGAATTGTTAATCAGCGTAAAAATTGTTTAAAATTATACAATTATATATTGTAGTCTCTGTAATGAAATCATAATTTCACTTCAAACTAAATAAATTTATTTATTTACTAGTTCAGAATATATAAAAAATTGGGTTTAGTAGTATTAGTAGTGCTTATAACAAACCAACTTTTAGCATTTGTTCAAAGTAACTGGTTATATTCTTAGAAAGGTATCTAGTTATATTGCAAGATAGTTTATAAATTATTTATATAACTAATCATTATTATATAAAATGATACTAATTTTAATCAAACGAATCTAAATGAAATGCACTACATAAAATAAATGCGCAAGAAAAAAATATGCCAAGATATAATTTATTTTTACAGGAAAAAATATTTATTTCCCTAAAAAATATATCAATAACTATATAATATTTTTTCTTGAAAGGCTCTTAATAAATTTTTATCTGAATTAACTAGTTATTTAAAAATTAGTGTATATTAGGGGTGTTGGTTTTTTTCTGAAAAATAAGCTTTTTTTCTTGAAAGGCTCTTAATAAATTTTTATCTGAATTAACTAGTTATTTAAAAATTAGTGTATATTATAGGGGTGTTGGTTTTTTTCTGAAAAATAAGCTTCCATAGACTAAACAAATTTCTGCAAGAACAATTGATGCAAATAAAACATTACTGTAATTTTAGATATTATAAATCATTAGTTACAAGAATATATACTGATATTAACATATTTTAAAAAAACTAAAATTTACTCTGATTACCTTTGTTCATTGCACTACCCCCCCCCCCCCAAAGATGTAACTAATTATAATTAGAAGTTATAATTTTAGTGAGTTATGATCATATCATAGGCGAGGCGTAGCCAGGGGGGGGCAAGGGAAAATCCCCACCCCTTCAGAAATTTATCACTTTTGTGAATATCATTTTAAGCTTATAAAAAAATATCCCCCTTAGTCCTCCCTCCACTCCCTGACCCCCCCAAAAATGTATGTATATATTTTAAACAATAATTTGAAAGAAAGAATGTAAAAGTTGATATTTTTTATAAAACTATTCATCATAATTTATACATTTTTGGAAAAAAGCATTTATATATAAAAAAAGTGAACCAAAAATGTTTTTTAATAAATGGAATATAAGCCAAAGATAAGTCTTAAGACAAAAGTGAAGCTCCGTGAAGTTGGCCGAACATTTGGAAGCACTAACTGTGAATCATATATCATTTTTTAGTGCTTATTAGTGCTTCAATCCGTATAGTAGCCGAATTTAAGGAAAAAAAGTTATAGGCAAAAATAAAAATTTGTGCCAACTTTACGCTTAAAAGTTGATTGAAAGCACTAACGATGAAACTTATATCATTCTTTAGTGCTTCGTTAGTAGAGGTTAGTGCTTCAATCACTTTTGTTGCCGAATTTAAGAATAAAAAGTTATTGGCGAAAAAAACAAAAATAAACAAATATTGGCGACGTGCCAAAACAAAAACTAGAGTAGTACTAAACATCCGGTTTTCGCCATTATTTAGTGCTTAATTAATGTATTTAATCCGTTATTAATTTAGTTAACCGCCTTATGGAAAAAAAGTTATAAGCTAAATAAAAATTATGACGTCACGATTTAAGCGTGAAGTTGTCCGAACTTTTGGAAGCACTAACGATGAAACTTATATCATTCTTTAGTGCTTCGTTAGTAGAGGTTAGTGCTTCAATCACTTTTGTTGCCGAATTTAAGAATAAAAAGTTATTGACAAAAAAAACAAAAATTAATAAATATTGGCGACGTGCCAAAACAAAAACTAGAGTAGTACTAAACATCCGGTTTTCGCCATTATTTAGTGCTTAATTAATGTATTTAAATTCCGTTATTAATTTAGTTAACCGCCTTATGGAAAAAAAGTTATTAGCTAAATAAAAATTATGACGTCACGATTTAAGCGTGAAGTTGGCCGAACTTTTGGAAGCACTAACGATGAAACTTATATCATTCTTTAGTGCTTCGTTAGTAGAGGTTAGTGCCAATCACTTTTGTTGCCGAATTTAAGAATAAAAAGTTATTAACGAAAAAAACAAATATTGGCGACGTGCCAAAACAAAAACTAGAGTAGTACTAAACATCCGGTTTTCGCCATTATTTAGTGCTTAATTAATGTATTTAAATACAGTTATTAATTTGGTTAATCGCCATATGGAAAAAATCGTAATACGCTAAAGAAATATTTAGAGGTCAAATTTTGGCCAGAAAATTATGATAGCACTAACGATGAAATTTATATCCTTCTTTAGGGCTTCCTTAGAAGAGGTTAGTTCTTCAATTATTTTGTAGCCGAATTTAAGAATAAAAAGTTATTTGCGAAAAAAACAAATAATGGCGACGTGCCACTCCGGTTTTCGCCATTATTTAGTGCTTAATTAGCAAATTTGAATTCCGCAATTAATTTGCTTAACCGTCTTTATAAAAAATTGTAATACGCTATAGAAATGTTTAGAGGTCAAATTATGGCCAGAAAATTATGAAAGCACTAACGATGAATTTTATATCCTTCTTTAGGGCTTCCTTAATAGAGGTTAGTGGTTCAATTACTTTTGTAACCGAATTTAAGAATTAAAAGTTATTTGCGAAAAAAGCAAATAATGGCGACGTGCCAAAACAAAAACTATAGTAGTATTAAACATCCGGTTTTCGCTATTATTTTGTGCTTAATTAGCAAATTTGAATTCCATAATTTGGTTAACCGTCTTTATAAAAATTGTAATACGCTGAAGAAATATTTAAAGGTCAAATTATGGCAGAAAATTATTAACGCAATAACGATGAAATTTATATCCTTCTTTAGGGCTTCTTTAGTAGAGGTTAACTCTTTAATCACCTTTGTAGCCGAGTTTAAGAATAAAAAGTTATTTGCGAAAAAAACAAAAATAAACAAATAATGGCGACGTGCCAAAAAAAAAACTATAGTAATACCAAACATCCGGTTTTCGCCATTATTTAGTGCTCAATTAGTAAATTTGAATTCCGTAATTAATTTGCTTAACCGTCTTTATAAAAAATTGTAATACACTAAGGATTATGAAAATATATAAAATTATAAAATATGTAATAAAACCTAAAATTTATAATTTATCAATATATAATTATATAATTAAAAATAAAATTCTATAATTGAGTCCCCAAAAACGAACCATAATTGTGTTTTAAAATTTCTATTTTAATTTTTTGTCGAATAAAAAGAAATTCTCTGGGTTCATTTGTGAAAAGTCGTATTTTATTACGCAGATTTTTTAAAAACATAAATGTTGAAGGCGAAAAATGCCCGTTAGTAGAATCACTACTGGAGTGAATATGAAGTTTTAAAATTTTTATATTTGTTTGTCTTTTTAATTTCTGCCTGTGTTATTAAATTGAAATTTATGTTTGAAGGGAATGATGAGACACACGTGTAGTCCCAATGAGTGATTTGCCGAGGGCCCAAGGTATGGTTGTCATATCATCAGGTCTTAAACCTTCTACTTGAGATAAATTTTATGGTTCAAGATTGTTTGTAATGTGTGCAGCTGTTAGGCTTCTATTTATTATATGGTTTACAGCTGAGTGTTGATTTATTAATCACATGTGGAAAATTCTGTGGTTAATTTTTTATATTACTCAAAAAATTTTTGATTACTTGTAAATTTTTATAGTAACACATTTCCATAATGTGAAACATTCCTATATAGTTAAATAACTTTCCATAAATTATTGTAAAAAACATTTTGATTTTGATATAATTTTTAAAAAAAATTTTTAATAAAAACGAACGTCAAATTTATGAATCGAATATAATTTTTTAATGTTTTGGTCTAAAATTTTCTTAGGCGTCGAGAAAGGTGTCAGAAAATTTGAAGGATTAATATGGCAGTATTTTATCGAATCAGGAACTCTCAGAATTCCTGCATAAGTATTAGTGATCTGCATCGGGCCTAATTTTTCAAGCCCGGCCCGGTCCGAAATTTTTTAAAAATGTTTTACCGGCCCGGCCCGATTTTTTTTAAAAAATTTACCGACCCGGCCCGGTCATGCCCGAATTTATTTAAATATAGAAAATAATTTTTAAAATTACTCAAAATAAAGACATATTTTATTATATTTAAAAAAATTTCTAGGCCCAACCCTACCCGGCCATTTTTTAAAAATATTAGGCCCGAACCCGATTTATTTAAAAAAAATTAGGTCTGAGCACGGTTCGGCGGGTACTTTATAATATTGTAATCTTAATATAACTAAAATTTATGATAGAAAAATATATGCGTAATTTTTTCGAATAAAATAAAACTATGTAAAAAGAACAATTTGAATTAAGAATAAAAAATTTCTGAGAATGTTTTTAACCACCTCAGAATAATAGCTCCGTGAAATTGGCCGAACATTTGGAAGCACTAACGATGAATCATGTAATTTTTTAGTGCTTAGTTAGTGCTTATTAGTGCTTCAATCCGTATAGTAGCCGAATTTAAGGAAAAAAAGTTATAGGCATAAATAAAAATTTGTGCCAACTTCACGCTTAAAAGTTGATTGAAAGCACTAACGATGAAACTTATATCATTCTTTAGGGCTCCCTTAGTAGAGGTTAGTGCTTCAATTACATTTGTTGCCGAATTTAAGAATAAAAAGTTATTGGCGAAAAAAACAAAAATAAACAAATATTGGCGACGTGCCAAAGCAAAAACTAGAGTAGTACTAAACATCCGGTTTTCGCCATTATTTAGTGCTTAATAAATGTATTCGAATTCCGTTATTAATTTGGTTAACCGTCTTTACAAAAAATTGTAATACGCTAAAGAAATATTTAGAGGTCAAATTTTAGCCAGAAAATTATTAAAGCACTAACGTTGAAATTTATATCCTTCTTTAGGGCTCCCTTAGTAGAGGTTAGTGCTTCAATCATATTTGTTGCTGAATTTAAGAATAAAAAGTTATTGGCGATAAAAACAAAAATAAACAAATATAGGCGACTTGCCAAAACATAAACTTGAGTAATACTAAACATCCGATTTTGC